GGGGGGGCAAGAATTTTTAGGACAAAAAAATTCATAATTAGGAACAAAAAATCGCGCTGCAGACGAAATTTTTTTTTGACTTAAAAGACTCAAAAAGAGTCAAAATTAATGACTAAAGACTAAAAAACTAGATTTTTAATTTTTCACACATTATAGTTTATTAAGACAGATATTTTTCCTATTTTGCACTAGGGTTTCTTTCCCTTAAGCATGCTATTGAGAAGCTATTCTGAAAATAGGAACAAAAAATTCCTGGGGCCCCCCAAATAAAATACAAAATAAATACAAATAATTGCTTGATCCAGTAAAAAAAAAATTAAACAATTTCAGGCAGGAGATTTAATCCTAGACGAGGAGGTGGGACTTTTAGGCCCGCCCTCAGGAGAACCTAGACCAGATAATATCTGTCTAGGATGCTACTTCCCCGCCCCTTCATACACTTGCTCAACCTGCCACGCCCCCATCTGTGGACCCTCATGTGAGAAAAAATCCGACCATACTCAGGTTCAAATTTTAGATTAAAGGGATTGTAAGGATAATTTCAAATTTTAGATTAAAGGTATTGTACGGATAATTTCAAATTTTAGATTAAAGGTATTGTACTGATAATTTCAAATTTTAGATTAAAGGGATTGTAAGGATAATTTCAAATTTTAGATTAAAGGGATTGTAAGGATAATTTCAAATATTAGATTAAAGGAATTTTAAGGATAATTTCAAATTATAGATTAAAGGGATTGTAAGGATAATTTCAAATTTTAGATTAAAGGAATTGTAAGGATAATTTCAAATTATAGATTAAAGGGATTGTAAGGATAATTTCAAATTTTAGATCAAAGGAAATGTAAGGAAAATTTCAAATTTTAGATTAAAGGGATTGTAACGATAATTTCAAATTTTAGATTAAAGGAAATGTAAGGAAAATTTCAAATTTTAGATTAAAGGAAATGTAAGGAAAATTTCAAATTTTAGATTAAAGGGATTGTTACGTAAGGATAATTTCAAATTTTAGATTAAAGGGATTGTAAGGATAATTTCAAATTTTAGATTAAAGGGATTGTAAGGATAATTTCAAATTTTAGATAAAGGGATTGTAAGGATAATTTCAAATTTTAGATTAATGGGATTGTAAGGATAATTTCAAATTTTTGATTTAAGGGATTGTAAGGATAATTTCAAATTACCTTTCATTCAAAGATGGCATTGTCCTATTCACAACGATATCCTTAAAACCTTTATCTGATTGATGATTTGGAAGATATTGTCGTTTTTCTAGGTTTTAAATGGTCAATTTGTATTATGCGTATATGTATTTTCCAGCTTTTTTGTAGAAAAACTATTAAAAATATCTAGTTTTCAAAATTATAAACATAGATATCTAGATCATATTTCAGACAAACTTTAAAGAGTATTGATGTTAAAGTCCCTTTATCATCAAATATACAGCTCACAATAATAACGCTATGCAATAACAATTTTATAGGAATTGAGTCTTTTTCTCTAACTCTAATTTTCCAATCCCGATATCCTTGCAATCTGGCGGCGTAAACTTTATAAATTATTTAATCTAATAAACAGAATTCATTCTTTGAAATATCTAAGGTCTTCGATATTTGGTTGCAAAGATATAGGGAATTAGTAAATCTGATACTTTTTTTGCAACTTTTGCAAGTCGAAATTTTTTTTTCTTTTATTCGATTTAAAAAAAAAAATCTCATAAATGTTATCATAAATAAAAATGAAACGTTTTTGTCAAATCTTGAATTTTTTTTTGTTGTCGTTGACACTCCCTGTCTGGGTTAAATGCAAGTGTGCTTTAAACTATGCATTAAATGCAGAATGTATTACAGATGTTTCAAACCAAATTGCTTATTTATTTATAGTAAAGCAAAATCTTTATTACCAGTCTTCTTCTTTAACTTTCCTCAAGATTTTAACTCTGCAGTTTAACATCAGTTTAACTTCAGTTTAACTCCAGTTTAACTCCAGTTTAACTCCAGTTTAACTCCAGTTTAACTCCAGTTTAACTTCAGTTTAACTCCAGTTTAACTCCAGTTTAACACCAGTTTAAGTCCAGTTTAACTCCAGTTTAACTCCAAACAAATAGAAATAGAAATGTAAAATAAAAATGATAATTTAATGAAATGAAATTTATTAAGGATTTAAAAAAATTATGTCTTGTAAATTGATGTAACTTTTGGAACCGTTCTTATCGCATTTTGTTTTAAAATATTAAAATTAATTTTCCTCAAATAGCACAGATAGGACAAAAATCGATTTTAGTTGATAATCTTTTAGTTCAGGACACACTGCATGTACAAAGGAGGAAGAAACTTTTGTATATTTAACCTGAACTTTCAGTACTAACACGGTTTCATTCCCTCTGGGCTGAACTATAACACAATCAAACGTTTTGCCTTTAGTACAGATTAAAATACTAATTTAAATAATATAAACTACATAATAATATTGATATATAAAAAATAAAAATAAAATATTCAATATACAATTGTCCAGGAGTGCAAAATGGTGGAGAAGTTTAAGCTCTGCGAACAGCTGGATAGAGATCAACTTTATGGAATAATAACTCCTATTAGGTTAAAAAAAGTATTTTTGACCTCAGATTGAAAAAAAATATTTATCTTCTAGAATAAATTGAAATTTGAAGACCACATAGATTTAATTTAGAACATATATTCACATTGCAAAGGAGCTGAGATTTTGCCACAAGCTTTGATTATCTAAATCCTATATCATTGCAATCCGTTGTCGTAAACTTCAGATATTTTAAACTGGGATCTATGTTAGATCAGATTATCTTGTATTCAAAATTTCAAAGGTCCCAGGAAACATTTCAAGAAGATGTCGGGTAAATAATTCTGGATTTGGAGGTTTCACATCGGCATATCGGAGTCTAAATATTTGTCTCCACCTTCAGGTTGCAAATGTATAGGGATAAGAAAATTTGAGTTTCTGGCAATGACCTTATTAAAGAATATTTTTTTATTTTTTTGTTAAATAACTTAAGTTTTTTTCCCCAAAGAGTGTTTGTTTCATCCATTATTAATTTTTTTTAAACCAATGTGGATTCCCTCCATTTTACTTCACAGTGGTTAAAAATAGGAACAAAACGGAAACCAATTATTTACAGATTTCTATCTCTACAGCAAAGCAACAAACACCTTTATAAAAAGGTAAAAAATAGAAAATACGTTTTTTTGGGTAAAATTTACAATTAAAAAACTCTAAAATAGTTTAACTTCCATGTTTAGAAAATTAACGAATAAGGAATTTTTTTTCTCGTTTTTTTACCTTTACGATTTTTTTTATCAAATATAGTACTGACAAGAAAAAGGCTGGCTTATGAAACTTTCTATGAACTTACGCAGACGTCTCAAACAAATGCATATTAGATTAGAAAAATCTCTTTTGTGGGACCTTACATGGCCCCCAGGAAAGAAAGATGCACCAGAAACGAAGTACAGTTTGCAGTTTGCATTTTAAGGAATGCAAACTCCGGAGTTTTCTGTATGGTGTCAATACATTTGTGTAGATTTTAATTTAAAAAATACATTTATGTAGATTTTGATTTAAAAATACATTTGTGTAGATTTTAATTTAAAAATACATTTGTGTAGATTTTGATTTAAAAATATACATTTGTGTAGATTTTGATTTAAAAAATACATTTGTGTAGATATTATTTTTAAAAATATACAGAACCAAAAAAAAGGCAAAAGAAATCATAAAAAAAATACTTCTGAACTGGTTTTAACTGTTTTAAGCCATTCCTGAAACCGGGTTTCTGATTCTAGGTTTTATTACCAAACCTTTCGGGTTCTGTACACTTTTTGTTGGTTAAACAAAAAACATGGATTCCTGCCTCTAAGGATGGTTTGTGGACGGTTAGCATTGAATTTTTCTTCTCTAGAGAGGGTTTATAAAAATTTTAAATCCCCAGATGAAAACCGGAAAATCTGCCAAATCTTAAAATGTTTATTGTTTGAGAAGGTACAAATAGAAAATGTTGGCAGAGAAAAGAGGTAAAGAGAGCTGGATTATCTTATTTTTTTGTATTTTTCTTAGTATTTTAAGTTACAATATTTTTAGACTATAAATTGATACAAGTTCTAATTGCAGATAACAACTTTTTAAAATCTTTTCCGTGTACCCTTTTTCACCTTGTTTAACTGTGCTGCATTATCTGCAAAGCACATGGGGATGGGGGGGGGGGTTTCTTCAGAATAGTTAGTGGAGTAAGATAAACCTTATACAAACCAAAGTTTTTCGCGAAAGTTCGCTTCAAAATGTTTCGCGAAAAAATAATGCAAAAATTTAGGGAAACAAAAATTGCGAAAATTTTGCAAATAAATACGGAATTTAAAAAAAGACAAAATTTTGAGAATACTATAGATGCACATTCCGCGAGAAAAATGTTCGCGAAAATATTCTTGCAAAATGCGAAATTTTCGCGAAATTTCACTTTGTTTTCGCATTTTTTGGTTCATTCATATTCGCGAAAAAAAATTATAGCTGACGAGGTTGTGTCCACTGGTATGGCATTGCTAGTTTACTAGCTTGTGTCCGTGTTGACAACTAGCTGAAGAGTTGTACCTGGATTGAAACGGGTCAGTTTTAGAAGTGTCATTTACTACATGCAGACTCCCACGCAAAAATGTATGAAAATGTTTCCAATTGAATTGATTTCTATTTTAAGTGGAACCAACCACATTTGAGTCGTGCCTCAAATTTATGCAGTGGCTCAAAATCTTTAAAGTCAGCCTTAGATTGTCAAAATGCTATGTATGTATAATGTAAAATGTATGTCTTACAAATAGCCGCGGCCAAACCGTAATACAAACTGGTAACTAGGATAAAAAAAACCAAGTTGGATTGGAAGGGGGGAGAATGGTGAGATTCTTTAGAATACCTGGATGTATGATACATGATATCTTTATAAACATAAAGAAGAGCAGTAGGAAATGTGTCCTTAACAACCATATTTCGGGCCATGATATCTACAGTTAAGAAGAGCGTGTTTAACTTATAACATGTGATGTGCTGAAAGTTAAAAGTTATCGCTGCAAACTGTTGACAGTGATTCAAAGGCTGCAAGGTCTCCCGCTAAAATTATTGAGAATTTTTCAAACTGAAGATGGACAAATTCTAACACAACGCACATTTTTTTTCCAATTCGGTCAAGGAGTTAAATTGAAATTAAAATTGCCATGCGATAATAACTTTAAATGTGAAAAAATTAAAAAATGTCTCTTATAAAGACAAAAAACTGTATTCCAAATATGCTGGTTTGGGTACCTAAAGATGGGCCGGAAGCCGCTGAATACTGTCCATTTATTTTTATTTCGATATCTTGAATATTGGCTGATGTTTAGTGTCTGGAACTATCTACCAACCTAGAGACTAGACGGCTTCAACCAGAGTTCATGAAGTACACTGAGAAAGCCAGGTTGTATCATCTATATAAAGTTGTAATCTGTTTGTTTGTATACTTGGATGTTCCATCAAAAATTAGGAACCCATAGTCCGATTTGCCAAATTTTGATTTCAGAACTCGGGAGAACCACGGGAATGATCTTGACTTGGTTTTGAGATTTTAAGTTGAGTGGGTTCACTTTTACAGGGAAAAGTAGCTAAAATCGACCAAGTGCGGGTAAACGGTGGGAGTAACTATGACTACCCTGGACAACGCTGGGTTCTCTGTTTGATCGAATGTCCGATCATAACTCATGAATTCCTTGACCGATTTTGACCGATTTGCCTCACATGTTTATTGAGGAATTCGGTAGAACAATGAAAATGTTTTTGATTCATCAACATCAAATTTTAATTTGAATTGGATTTGCATAACTCATTAAAAATTAGTTTTCTCATATCGATATATATATATATATGCTAGTTTAAATTATTATTCATATACAGGGTGTCCCAATAAACATGGGAATTCAGTGACGAATTCGATATCGTCTTTTTAAATAATTCCTTGATTTAGTAAAGTAATACCTTCTGAGAAAGCTGTAATCTGTAAGAGTTTCGTCTGCTATGTTCACATTTTGTTTGTTTATGTTTTGACTGCATACTTAGTAAAACAAGAAAATTGCAGTATACAAAAAGAGTAAACTTGTCCGTCTTCATTGTTCATCTTGTGGAGACATTATAGACACATCTTTACAGTCTTTTACCCTTTTCATGAAATAAACTCTAGCAGACATAGTAATAGTATGGTTTTTGAATTTAGGTATTACAATGCTAATTCATAACGAAGACGATACCGAATTCGTCACTGAATTCCCATGCTTTTTGTGACACCTTGTATTAGATACATTTTAAATATACGGACAATATTAAACTATAACTTTAACGCACTTATTGATATAGATCTTAGTACAATACATTTTACAAAAAATATAAGTTTGTTTAAAAGGTTTATGTATTAAGAAGGAATAATTACTGCGGAACTCCGGGTAGAGTTTCATGTTTGTAACCCAATTCCCGCTTTCTCAAAGGGACTGTCGGCGTAATTTCAAGTATCCCTACATGCAAATATGCCAATGTCCGATTCACAACGGCCCCCTTTATCTGATCAATAATGAAGATGATATTGTCGGTTTTCTAGATTAAACGTGTTTCTTTCTAATGTTTTCCTGCAGTAGAAATGCGCAAATCACTTTTAAAGAAAACCCATAGTTGAAAATAATCAGTTTTCAAACACTGTTATCTTATTCCTAGTTGACCATACAAAGCCTCTTCGGGCATTGTCATTTTATCATGAAGGCCGAAGGATCACTTGAAATTAAGTTTACAGTCCCTTAAAGGCCTAACAACACCGTTTGCATATAACTAAGACTTTAAGAAAGCTTCATCTTAGGCTTCAGAAGAGAGTAAACTGGCCCCCCCCCCCAAAAAAAAATATATATTTTAATTTTGAAGTAACCCAGTGGAAAAAGCACCCTGGACTAACCAGAACTACATAGATTTTATCAATTTGAATTATATCAATTTGAATTTAAATTTAATTGAATTTCAAAGTGGTCTTTTCATACTTTTTTTATTTAAAATTCTAAAAAGCTTTTTGGAAGAATGAAATAACTGTGAAATCTTCGGACATTGTTAATAAATGAATAATAACATTTTTATTAAGGCTTTATGCCGGGCTCCTGCATGGTTGGACAACAGAGGAGGAAATGTTAAAAATTCTTACAATTTTGGATACAAACACATTTCAGGTTAATTCGGGAACCTTTCCTTTAAACATTTTTATTTTTATTTTCAAAATTTAAGAGAAAATTTGTGTTTTTTTATTGATTTTAATTGACCTAAACAAGTTATGAAAGCTTTTCAAAAAATCTTTTGATTTTAATTGCCCTAAAAAAAGTTATGAAAGCTGGTCAAAAATCTTTTAATTTTAATTGGGCGAAATACTTTTCTTTTAATTTAAAGTCCTTAATTTCAACAAATGATTTTTTCTTAAAGCTTTATTTAATTAGTTTAGTAATTTTATAATTTTTTTTCTTTCTATAGGTTCTAGCTCAGGGGAGTGCTGAAACCCTCTCAGGATTATATCCAAGAATATCCAAACTTAATCATAGCTGTATCCCTAACTCAAGGTGTGTAACTCAAACATAGCTGTATTCATGACTTAAGGTGTATAACTCAAATATAACTGTATCCTTAACTCAAAATGTTTAACTCTGAAGCAATAAAAATACGTCAAAAACTGATGAAACTTTTAAATTTTTTAATCAAAATGGCGCTTAATCTTGAAAAGGAATTAATCAATCTTTTCATAAATCTTTGAAAAGATAATTAAAAATATCAAAGAAATTTTTTTTTCCCTTGTTAATGGTTTATCGATATATATGTTATATCAGAAATATTATTATGTTCAGACTCAGACTAAATATGAGATTGCCAACAATGTAGATAATGGTTGAGATAGATTACTCAGACGAGGGATTGCCGAGGGGCTGGCTGGAGAGGGAGAGAAGGGCTGGAGAGGGAGGGAAAAGGAGGGGGAATGATGGGAAGGGAAGGGAAGGAAAGGGAAGGAAAGGAAAGGGAAATGAAGGGACAGGAAGGGACAGGAAGGGACAGGTAGGGACAGGTAGGGATTGGGGAGGGAGCAGTTTGGATATTCTTTTATGACGCAATCCATGTTATTTTTAAGAAAAGATATTTTTTTATCTAATATGCATAATTGTAATTGAACTATGGCACCAAGAGCTATTCTTTGTATTTTTGGTTGACATTTTCTCCTTCCATCAAGTTTATTTGAAAAGTGTGGTGATATATTTTTCAATTTTAGGACAGTGTTTCGTGGGGATTATTCTCTTCAGGAAATCTTTTATTTTATAATTATTAAAGAATTTACTAAAGAATTGTTCATGCGGCCATTGGGGATTGGAAGATAATACAAACTGAGTTTTAAACAACAGGTTTTCCGAAACTAGAATTTTTCATATTCTTAAGTTTCATATTAACAATTCTTTTTGTTTTTCTCTCAATCATTTTCAAAAATTTATTATATTTACTTGAATAGAAATTGAGGTTTTGAACAGATAATCGCTTGTGTGAATATACAGAAAGGGTCCCCGATCTACATATCCTATACTCCTCCTTTTTATACAACACATTCTAGGTAAATTCACTTTTTACACAACATATTCTAGGTAAATTCACTTTTTATACAACATATTGTAAATTCACTTTTTATACAACATATTATAGGTAAATTCACTTTTATACAACATATTCTAGGTAAATTCACTTTTTATACAACATATTCTAGGTAAATCACTTTTTATACAAAATATTCTAGGTAAATTCACTTTTTATACAACAGATTCTAGGACAATTCACTTTTCACACAACACATTCTAGGTAAATTCACTTTTTATACAACATATTATAGATAAATTCACTCTTTATTCAACATATTCTAGGTAAATTCACTTTTTATACTACACATTCTAGGTAAATTCACTTTTTATACAACATATTCTAGATAAATTCACTCTTTATACAACATATTCTAGGTAAATTCACTCTTTATACAAAACATTCTAGGTAAATTCACTTTTTATACAACACATTCTAGGTAAATTCACTTTTTATACAACATATTCTAGATAAATTCACTTTTTATACTACACATTCTAGATAATTTATACAACAGATTCTAGGTAAATTCAGTCTTTATACAACAGATTTAGGTAAATTCACTCTTTTTACAACACATTCAAGGTAAATTCACTCTTTATACAACATATTTTTGGTAAATTCACTTTTTATACAACATATTCTAGGTAAATTCACTCTTTATACAACAGATTATAGGTAAATTCACTCTTTATACAATATATTCTGGGTAAATTCACTCTTTATACAACACTTTCTAGGTAAATTCACTCTTTTTACAACATATTCTAGGTAAATTCACTTTGCTTACAATATTTTCTTGGTAAATTAACTTTTTATACAACATATTCTTGGTAAATTAACTTTTTATACAATATATTCTGGGTAAATTCACTTTTTATGTAAAATATTTTAGGTAAATTCATTCTGTAAACAATACATTCTGGGTAAATTCACTTTGTATACAATATTTTCTGGGTAAACTCACTTTTCATACAATATATTCTAGGTAAATTTAATTTTAAACTATATATTCTGGGTAAATTCACCTTTTATACAACATATTCTAGGTAAATTTACTTTTTATACAACATATTCTGGGTAAATTCAATTTGTATACAAAGTATTCTGGATAAATTTACTTTTTAAACAACATATTCTAGGTAAATTCATTTTGTAAACAATATAGTCTGAGTAAATTCACATTTTATACAACATATTCTCGGTAAATTCACTCTTTATACACCATATTCTAGGTAAATTCACTCTTTATACAACATATTCTAGGTAAATTCACTCTTTTTACAACATATTCCAGGTAAATTCACTCTTTATACAACAGATTCTAGGCTAAATCACTCTTCATACAACACATTCTAGGTAAATTCACTCTTTTTACAACATATTCTAGGTAAATTCACTCTTTATACAACAGATTCTAGGTAAATTCACTTTGTATACAATACTTTCTGGGTAAATTCACTTTTTACACAATATATTCTAGGTAAATTTAATTTTAAACTATATATTCTGGGTAAATTCACTTTGTATACAATATATTCTTGATAAATTTATTTTTTATACAACATATTCTGGATAAATCTACTTTTTATGCAACATATTCTAGGTAAATTCACTTTTTATACATCACATTCTTGGTAAATTTACTTTGTATACAATATATTCTGGATAATTTCACTTTTTATACATCAGATTCTAGGTAAGTTTACTTGTATACAATATATTCTGGATAATTTCACTTTTTACACAAAAGATTCTAAGTAAATTCACTTTTTACAATTTTATTTATCTTAAACTAACATTAGCAATATTTTCAAAATTATGTTTTTCAACTACTGAAGTTGTATTTGATATCTTTATTCCGTTTATTTACATAATTACATTTTCGGAATAAGTCAGGACAGTTTGAGAAAATGTTTTTAATATTTCCTAAAAAATCCGTTTGTGATTATTTTGTTATTTGACGAGTAAGTATCCAGAAATGTCTCAAATTTCCCCCCCAGTTTTTTGCTGAGATATCAAAACAAATAAAATACATATTATTGGCTGTTTCCAAGAAACCGACCCTTTAATGAACCACGCCCCCCCCCCTCCCCGACTAATACAAAAAAAATGATTTTTTTTATCATAATTCAGGCATAGTCTGCATTCCCTGTAAAACAAAATGTCATTTGTGCATTCGTGTCGTAAGGGGATTAATTTTGAGCTCATAATACCACAAATTGATGCCAAGGCTCAATATACAGTGATAACCAGAAAACTCTGGAATAGAAAGTCGACTTTCAGGCTCATATTATGACTTTAGATAATCAAATGAACATAAGTCACAGCAGTTGTGCATTGTAAACAGACCTATTTCACTAAATACGAGATTTAACAACTTGTAAGTAAAGCTATTTGTTTTGTAACAACATGAAATGTATCATCAGTATTGCTTTAATGTCGTCTTAATATTCTACAGTTTTTTGGATGCCACTGTCTTTGATTTTTGAATGAAATGCTAATGTACTTTACCTTAGAGGGGGNCCCCCCCCCCCCCCCCTAGTTATATTATTGAATTGCAAGGAATTAAATATGTTACAGCTTCAATGGGTCTCGATAAGCATCATAATTTTTTAATGCAGAGACTAACATCTCGTTTTCTTTTATTATTTCCCAACAAATCTGATGAACATTTGAATTTTCTTTTAGGAGGAAAATCCTTGAACGAGGAAAACAGTTCCTCTGTGATTGTGTACGTTGCCAGGAGTGTACACATGTATATTGTACCAAACAATGGTTTAATTTTTTGTACCATTATTAAATAGTAGACATATTCTTCTTTCTCCCCAGCTCTTCCTTTTCCCGCTTTCGACTTTCCCTGCTTCTTTCTTCTTCGTGCCTCAACTTTCTTTCACTTTTTTTTGTCCTGAGTGTCTCTTCCTTTTTTCCTTCCATTGCCCTCCTCCCTGCCTCTTTCAATCCTCACTGCCTCCTCCCTTCTCTTTATCTTTTCTCTTCTCCTTGCCTCTTCCCTTCTCCCTGTCTCTTCCCTTCTCCCTGTCCCTTTCCTTCTCCATGCTTCATTCTTTCTCCCTGCCTTTTCCCTTCTCTTTGTCTCTTCTTCCCTTCCTCCTGCTGCTATCCCAGCTCCCTGCTCCCTGTCCCTTTCCTTCTCCCTGCCTCTTCCCTTATCCCTGCAGGTCTTCCCTTCCCCCTGTCTCTTCCCTTATCCCAATAATTCCCATGCCTAATCCCTTCTCCTTGCCTCTTCCCCTCTCCATGCCTCCTCTCTTTTCCCTTCCTCTTTCTCCCTCTTTAGTCTCTTTCCCCCTCTCTGACTTTATTTTCCCCTCATCTCCTTACCTTGGTTCTACACTAAAGTAACCCTGAATACCTTCATTAAAGAGCAGAGGGTTAACTTTAGACTTGAGTTAGAGAAAATTCTAATTCACAAAAAAGACCGGGGGGGGGGGGTGGCTTTTACAATGTACATATGTAAACCAACAAAATATATATATATTTTCATTTTTATTGAAATTCCTGTGACAGTAGTGTGTTGTGTTACACTAAAAATGACAATTTATTCAGACGCTTAACAAGTTTGCATTTTATTTATATAAAATATCCTTTCTGATCAGTTTTAATTCTAATAAAGCATGTCATGCTAATTCAATTTTGTGAGAATTTTTCCAATTACTTTTTTCAATAGAAAACTGAAAACAAATGATTTAAAATTCTAAAATGTACACGTCCAGGGCTACATAAAAATGTCTAAAAGATTGAATTAACTTTTCATAGCAGTCTGGATCTATGTAAACTAAAATTTTTTTAATTTTAGAAATAAATTACTAAGATAACATTGTGGATAACATTATAATTTGTATATTTTAACTATTTTAACGTTCTTCTATAAATCGCAAATAAGTGTTTTTATTTCATTTTATTTACTAAAAGTTACATCGTACACTGTATACAGGATCCTCAAGAACTCGGAACCATGATGTCAGGTGACCTGACGCAACAAATATGTAAAAGTTTTGTGGCCGAATTTAAAGAATTTGAGCGGCGGTTTAAATTTAAGTCGCGGGTTAAATATGGTTGGTTCCACTTACAATTGTATCAAATGTTTCAAGATTTAAGCCGGCGCTAAATTTAAACCGGGTTTTGGCGGATTTAAACCGCGGCTCAAATTCTTTAAATTCCATCTCTGACGGAACAAATATTTAAAAATTTTTATCCTATATTTCTTTTTTCTTCTCCTTTTTTTCTCTTTCTAATTTTTATTGTTTTTTTTTCTCTTTTTTGATTCTGCGATCCTATTTCATTTTCTTTTGTTCTCTTTTTTCTTCGTTAATATCAATTAATTTAGGTCTCTCCTGTGGGTCTTGCAAATCAGATTTCTTACTCAGGTTAAAAATTTTCATTTCCTTTTCTCCTTTCTTTTCCTTAATATCCCTGCATATATACATAAAATATGTACTTTTATGTCTCTTGATGGTTGATACGTATTAAATTTCAATTAGCTAACAGAGAAAAAAGAAAATAAAAAAAAGATTATTCATGATTAACAGAAGATTAGTTATTTTGTAAATTCGGAAAATTTTGAACAACGTAATTTTTATAGCGTAAACAATATCAAAAAGATACAAATTTAAAGCTTATTTAGTTTCATTTGTTCAAAAAAGGTTCAAAAACACGGTGAGTTATCCGATCATTTAATGAGAAAGTAGATAAAATAAAAATAACATGAAAAGAATTAAACGTTTTTTAAAGATGTCTGGCGGGCGAGGATACAGTTTACGCCTGTAGGAATTGTGGAAACCAAATCTGTGAAAACGAATTTAGAAAAATTGATGAAACCCTGCTATCGGTTCAAACTAATATTTATAAGGTTGTTCCTTCTTACTTTTTTGACTTGGTTTATTTTCATAAGATAAGCTCTATGCTCTACTTTCATAAATCTAAAACTATCATTGTATTTTCAGAAGATAAGCTCTATGCTCTACATTCATAAATCTAAAACTATCATTGCATTTTCATTTTGGTGTATAGCGGACTGAACAAATTTTTGTTGCCTCCGCAAATGATTATTTTGTGGAGGTTTGCGTAGATAAAAATTTAATGGCAATTTTATTTTTCGGAATTGCGCATTGTGAAAGGTCTGCCTCCTCAATATTCATTATCGCAGAAAACTTCGCAATTCAGCAAGAAAGTTCACGAAATTTGCAAGTTGATATGCCCAAAAATTTGTTTTTATCTCTGAAATCTTCCTAATGTGTTTATTTTATTACATTCGCCAACAGTTTTTTAAAATAATTATAAATTTATAATTTGGGCATATTTTTTTTTCTTCTGAACAAAATTATCCGTTATCACCATACTTTCACAATGGTCCCGGTTTTTTATATTTTTATTCTTATACAGGGTGTCCCACAAAACATGACGGTAGAAAGACGACTTGAAGGTAGTCTTTGATTTTTGAAACTATTGCAGCATCCATTTGTCAACCTATTTTTACAAGTATGATTCTTAAAACAATAACCACACAATTCTCCTTCTAGATTTACGATTAAATACCGTCATTTTTTGTAAAGATTAATTACGACCTTCAAGTCGTCTTCCTACTCTAATGTTTATAGAGACACCCTAAATATATATTTGATCTATTTTTTTTAAAAAAAAGAATTTAATTTTAGGAAAATGTTGAAAAGATGCAGGAAATTCTTTTTAAATATTCAGATATTTTGCATCCAAATCATGCCTTGCTAGCAGGTATATACCCTCCATTCTTGACACATTTAATATTCTGTATCATGGATACAATATTCTGTATCATGGATACAATATTCTGTATCATGGATACAATATTCTGTATCATGGATACAATATTCTGTATCATGGATAAAATATTCTGTATCATGGATACAATATTCTGCATCATGGATACAATATTCTGTATCATGGATACAATATTCTGAATCATGGATACAATATTTTGTATCATGGATACAATATTCTGTATCATGGATTCAATATTCTGCATCATGGATACATTCTGTATCATGGACACAATATTCTGTATCATGAATGCAATACTCTGTATCATGGATCAATGTTCTGTATCATGAATACAATACTCTGTATCATGGATACAATATTGTGTATCACGGATTCTACATGTATTGATTGCATGCAATATTTATGAAATCCTTTTGCATCGAATTGCATCCTCCATTTTGTATCCTGCATCCTGCATCCCGAATCTTGTATCTTATACCCTGCATCCTATATCCTGTATATCCTATTTACTGCATGGATTTATTTCATAAAAACAAATTGAGGATTTAATTTTTAGAAACTAAACAACATCTTGCAGCAGCCATTGGCCGGGTTCCTGGATACAGATATGAACAGCTAGACTTGGATACACTGAGACTTAAAGTGGATATAAGGTATCATACAGTTGTCGTCGTATATATCAATACAATAAAGACGAATTTCTATTCCTATTTGGATTTCTACCAAGCTTTTAAGCAGTAGAAATGCTTAAACATATTAACAGAGAGAAGTTGTCAGTTAATAGCATCTTAAGTATTTTTGAACCTTGAATATCCAAATCAAGATATTTTCTATTTGGATATATATTTAGCAATGATCTATTAAATATCTTGCGTATCTTTGGAACCTGGAATATCCAAATCATAATATTTTCTATTTGGATATATATTTAGCAATGATCTATTAAATATCTTGCGTATCTTTGGAACCTGGAATATCCAAATCATAATATTTTCTATTTGGATATATATTTAGCACTGATCTATTGGATATCTTGAGTATCCTAGAGCCTGGAATATCCAAATCTCGTGGAATAACTCTCCTTGATCTGACAGAAGCAAAATCAAGGAATTTAACCAAAATATACAGACTGTACCTCATCAAACTAAAGAAACATCCACGTTTTACAACTTCTTTAATTGAAGAGGTATCATGAAGAAGAAAAATGTTTTGAATTTCTATTATGTAACAAAATATATTTTCATCGCCTTTACTTTAGCGTCAATTACACTAGAAAAGCTACGAGGTCACTAAGTCGTGACATGGATTTTGCATAAATCTACAATTTTTCCCGTATAATTATAATTCCGTGATACGACTCAAACGAGTGACCCAGTCAAACCGCTAGATGTAGTATGATGAGTATAAAAATATTTTTAATTTTGAATTTTTGTTTCGACTAGAAAGGACTGTCGTTGTAATTTCTGCAAGTGACCCTCCATTTAAAGAGAGCTTTAGTCCGATGTAAAAAGGTTCCCTTCAATGAGGAAGGGGTGGCTGCTCCCAGGGTTTTGGAGTAAAATGGGAAAATTTATCCGACCTTTTATGAAAAGTCCTTTAAAGAGGGAACTTTAAAACCGAAAATTGTAAATTGATTAGGCAAACTGACGACATTTGTTTCATCTTTTTTCCGAAAAATCCAATTTTCCGCCTAAAAAATCTCTAAACTCAGAAGTCACGAAACAATTTTTTTTTTTTTAAATTTGAGCCTTTTATATGGCCCGCACCATACCCAAAATCATTAAATTATATAGTGTTCTATCTGTACTGTTATTAAACTATGGTACGCCACATATAGAAAAGAAAGAAAAACTTTTTTTAAATCTCTGCTTTCAATGATTTTAAATGTCTCGCTCATGGAAGAATGCATTTTCACAATATAAATGATCTTGCTTTGCAGAGAATGTGAAATCAGTAATAAATCATTTTATTGCAAAACCTAGGTTGCAAATTCATTTTTTACCGATAGACTGATTGTCTATATATACTTTGCTTGTCTGTTTGTTTGTAACCATCAACGTCAAAACGGCTGAACCAATCGGGACAAAATTTTTTTGGAACCTCAAATGATCCAGGGAAGGTTTGTGGATGGTAAGAATTGAACAATTTGTCTTTCGATTTTTTAAAATCCACAAAAAACTATAACATAGCAACAATTAAAAGTTAAAGATGCGGCGAGATCATTTCTCAAATTTTGAAATATAATTTTATAAGATTGAAAATATTATGAAAATAGTAAACAATATCTTTAAGTTTATGAATATTTTGGTTTAAATAAGACTTTTGAGACGAGAATGCAGTAGTGAAAATGATCTAAGGATAGGATTTAAGCAGATAGAGCAGGTAACAAAACAATGACCTAACTTAAATACCCCACCCCCCTCAAAAAGGTACAAAAAAAACATTTAAAACTGAAATAAAAATCTAAAATTTTTTTTTTATTATTGCAAAAAGAAATTTTTTAAAATATGGCCAATCAAATTTGACGTTTTTTCAATTTCAGTTTTGAATGGTTTCCAAACATATTTTAATCAACAATTTTCTATCTGGAAGGGAATATTCGCGAAAAATAAAAAAATGTCGATAAATTATCGATGGTGATCGCTACTAATCATACTTCTATCTGTTGCGTCTATATGGAGAAAATTGTTAAAAACGACTCATACCGAAGAACGATAATTTTTCGTTGTAAGCCTATACCCCCCTTCATTTTTAGCGAACACTCCCTTTAAAATTGTCTAGATTTAAAAAGATTAAGAACATAGAATGTTCTTTTTGTTAAAGATTCTTAATTAAACCTTAAAGATTCTAAATCACAGAAAATAAACCATGTCTGTCTAATGTAAATATGTTTTTAGTTCTCAAATTATTATTATCTACAGGACACATTAACCATTTCGAGTAAGCGCATATACTGTTTTAAATAAGCTCATCAATCTGTTATCTGGAACATGGATTGAACACTATCTGGGACTGGTTTGGATTCAAACTATCTATGACTTGATTCGATTGAAAACTACTCAGGAATGGGTTTAGATAAAAACTATCTGGGACTGGGTTGGATTAAAACTATCTATGACTTGATTCGATTGAAAACTACTCAGGAATGGGTTTAGATAAAAACTATCTGGGACTGGGTTGGATTAAAACTATCTATGACTTGATTCGATTGAAAACTACTCAGGAATGGGTTTAGATAAAAACTATCTGGGACTGGGTTGGAGTAAAAACTATCCATGACTGGATTCGATTAAAAACTAATAAAGACTGGGGTTGAATAAAACTATCTGTGACTGGGTTGGATTAAAAACTATTTAGGACTGGGTTTGATTAAAACTATCTATGACTGGGTTGGATTAAAAACTATCTAGGACTGGGTTGGATTATTAACTATCTATGACTGGGTTGGATTAAAAACTATTTAGGGCTCGGTTGGATTAAAAACTATCTGGGACTGGGTTGGATTAAAAACTATCTGGGACTGGGTTGGATTAAAACTATCTGGGATTGGGTTGGATTAAAAACTATCTGGGACTGGGTTGGATTAAAACTATCTGGGATTGGGTTGGATTAAAAACTATCTGGGACTGGGTTGGATTAAAAACTATTTAGGGCTCGGTTGGATTAAAAACTATCTGGGACTGGGTTGGATTAAAACTATCTGGGATTGGGTTGGATTAAAAACTATCTAGGACTCGGTTGGATTAAAACTATCTAAGACTGGAGTTGGATTATAAACTATCTAGGACTCGGTTGGATTAAAACTATCTAAGACTGGGTTGGATTATAAACTATCTAGGACTCGGTTGGATTAAAACTATCTAAGACTGGGTTGGATTAAAAACTATTTAGGACTGGGTTGGATTAAAACTATCTATGATTGGGTTGGATTAAAAACTATTTAGGACTCGGTTGGATTAAAAACTAATAAAGACTGGGGTTGGATAAAACTATCTGTGAGTGTGACTGGGTTGGATTAAAAAATATTTAGGACTGGGTTGGATTAAAAAGTATTTAGGACTGGGTTGGATTATTAACTATTTAGGACTGGGTTGGATTAAAAACTATCTATGCCTGGGTTGGATTAAAAACTATTTAGGGCTCGGTTGGATTAAAAACTATCTGGGACTGGGTTGGATTAAAACTATCTGGGATTGGGTTGGATTAAAAACTATCTAGGACTCGGTTGGATTAAAACTATCTAAGACTGGAGTTGGATTATAAACTATCTAGGACTCGGTTGGATTAAAACTATCTAAGACTGGGTTGGATTATAAACTATCTAGGACTCGGTTGGATTAAAACTATCTAAGACTGGGTTGGATTAAAAACTATTTAGGACTGGGTTGGATTAAAACTATCTATGATTGGGTTGGATTAAAAACTATTTAGGACTCGGTTGGATTAAAAACTAATAAAGACTGGGGTTGGATAAAACTATCTGTGAGTGTGACTGGGTTGGATTAAAAAATATTTAGGACTGGGTTGGATTAAAAAGTATTTAGGACTGGGTTGGATTATTAACTATTTAGGACTGGGTTGGATTAAAAACTATCTATGCCTGGGTTGGATTAAAAACTATTTAGGGCTCGGTTGGATTAAAAACTATCTGGGACTGGGTTGGATTAAAACTATCTGGGATTGGGTTGGATTAAAAACTATTTAGGACTCGGTTGGATTAAAACTATCTAAGACTGGGGTTGATTGAATATTTTTTGTTACTGGGTTAAATCATTAGAGGCAGGTTTGGATCCTTATTGTAAAGATTTGTAGATGTGGACTGCACATCCTGACTCTTTTGACGTCATATATACTTTCCTGAATCTTCTTTGATAAAGAGGTTTAATCTGAAGGTACTTTACAGACAATTCTTACAATCCTGAATAGAAACAAATCAGTGGAAGAAGAACTTTTTCAGAACTTTCTACAAACGATTTAACGTTCTTCGATTTCAACATACAGCTGTAACACAAATATACTTTTAATTACAATAATAATAATAAGAATATTAATAAAAATAATATTATTATTATTAATAATAATAATATTATAATATTATTATTATTAATAATAATAATAATATTAGTAATATTGATAATATTAGTAATAATAATGAAATTGGGCATTTAAATTTATAAATTGAAATTTTTACAATTATGTCGAGTACTAACTTTTTAAAACTTTAAAATTAAAAATATTTTAGTCCTTTTTTAGGATACAGAATGAAACTTTTCAGACGACTTTCAAAAATTTTAATAACTTTCTGTTTTAGATTTTACTGCACTGCAGCTTTTTATTCTTTTCATTTCAAAGGATGTAAAAGATTGACGTAAATTTAATCTTCATAATAATAAATAAATGATAAAAATGAACTTTATAAAAACTCTTCAAATTCTCATGCTATATGGATAATTCTGTATAACAGAATATTAAAATAATTTTTATTTATAATCAATATTTGGTTTGGTTTAGATGCTTGAGGAGAGTAATACAATACTCAGCTACGAAGACGAAGGTGCTATAGAAGGAAACGTGGCAAAGCTCGCGCGCACACAGTTGGAAACTATTAGGTATTTTTTAGAAAATGAGAAATTCTAATCTCAAGTTAAAGGAACTGAAAGCTTAATTTTATGTGACCCTCCATGGCAAAGGTAGCGATTCACAATTAGGGATGGGCAATAGCCAGATTTGCTTTACAGATACATTTAATATTTTTAGACTTTTAAAAGGTTTTACGACAATATGAGAAGGTTCCAACATTTTTAAACTTAATTTCGTAGTAGATTGCTTTTATCAAACATGCAAATTTGTTACCCTAAAAGAAAACATAAGGCATAAACATTCGGTTTTGGGTTTTTAAAACGATAGTTTTTGGTTCGGTTTTGCCTTAAATTCTCACCTAAAGGGTGTCCCACAAGACATGACAGTGTATGAATAGTCTTAAATGTCTTCTTCTTCCATATACAGTATTACATATTATAGAGGTTTTGCAGTTTATTTCTATTTAAAAAATCTTGTACTTACATATATTTTACTTTGAAATTAATTTTACTATAATATTTTTTATTATTCTCTTTACAAATTATAGAAGAAGACATTTAAAACTATTTACCAACTGTCATATTTCGTGGGACACCCGACAGGATAACAAAATTGCATCTTTGATAAAAGCAAACTTCTACAGAATACAATTTTGAATCGTTGAACCCTTCTCAGATCGTCGTAAAACCTTTTAAAAGTCTAAAAATATTAAAAGTTTCTGTAAAACAAATCTAGCTATTTCTCGATCGCATATTCGCAATGGTAACCTTTAAACCTTTATCTGATCTATAATATTATCATTTTTCTAAAGCTAACAGTGTTTTATTGAAGAGAAATGCAAAGGTCACTTTTGTATAAAAACCACTATTGAAAATAATCAGCTTTCGAAATGATGAACATTGATATCTAATTCATATACTTGATCTTGGACAAATCTCTAAAGGGTACTGTTGTGAATCGGGCATTGTCATCTTTGGATGGAAGGTCATGTAAAAATTAAGCTTACAGTCCCTTTAAGAATCGAAATTTTAGAATTTTTAAAAATGTTGCTTCTGTTCAAGTACGTTTTTTAAATCATAACATTTTATTCCAAGACCTATGGATGTTCGTTCATGGTTAGTTAAATTAACGTATTTCTGAACATTCGTTTCAGTTAATAAATTGATATAAAACAATTTTTTTTGCATGATAATGGAATTTACAATTGCCCTGCTTCTACCACTGACTGATTGGTTTATGGTTTTATGCATCAACATTTCTGCTAATTTTCAAAAACTTTTTTTTCGTTTATTCTTCAACAGCACATTGCCCAGCCATATCAGTAGTTTAACCTTTATCATTGAAATCATTATAATTCGTAGTAATCTTTAGAAATTGGTTAAAAGTGTAAACAGTATAGGGTGTTTCAAATATAGGAAAACCTAATTGAAAAATGGCAAATATAAAATATGTAAACAAATTTTCCTAAAAGTTGATTTTTACTCCATCTATAGTGCCAAATTCTTATCAAACATTTCGCATACAAAAAAGTTCTCTTGACTTCTGTGTTTATGCGTATCCATGATGTTTAACATGTTTGGTATAAATCAAAATTGAAATCGAACGCTGGATTTATTTTATTGATAAAATCGCCTTCCACCGTATATTATTTAGATTGTTCAATAAAGCTCTCAACGGTTCTAGATGAAACAAGTATGAAGATATAAATATTAAAAAAACTGTTCATCTACGTAATTTTGACAATATGTATAGCGTACTGTATATGTCAATCTCGGTTTCTGATCCTTCCTTTTTAAATTTCAAATTTGTCATGAAAAACCTTGGTTCTGGTTTTGCAATACATGAACCCTTATATTCCGTCCTTACCCCTTCTCTTTAATTCTGAAGATCTATTGCTTAAATTAAATCTTTCACATGGTACTTAATTGGTGTTTTTAAGTATTTAAAAAACTCCAACTCCAACTCCAATTACATTTTAGAATTTAAATGATAAATATGTTGTGCAAAGATGGATCGTTAATGTCGTCTTTTTTTAAGGAAGACTTTGTTAAACATGTTTGCACCATGAACATTTGTATATTTTGTATTTCTTAAATGTGTGAGAATAAATTGTTCTAATAAATCTTCTATCTATATATACTTTGCTTCTCTTATTTGTTTGTTCGTTTGTTTGCTTGTAACCGATAAACGTCGAAGCGACTGAACTGATCGGGCGCAAATATTTGTATAGGATCCCAGGAAAGTTTTATGGATGGTTTGAATGGAAAACTTTGCCTTAATTTTTTTTTTTACTTTTCAAAATCCACAAAAAAACTATAACACAGGAATTTATGCAAGTTAAAGATGGGCGCGAAGCGCCCTGGAAGCCTAGTTTAAAAAAAATAATACAGTGATAAGCAGAAAATTCTGGAAAAGGAAGTGGACTTTTAAACTAGAGTACTATGGCATTAACCCTATAAAGGCTGGGGGGTGGTCTGAATCTATAGTAAAGCCTGGGAGGGGGGGGGGGTTGTTTTACCTTAGAGAATAAATTTCCAAATTTCACGGTGATAGTGTCAAAAATGAGAGTGCTACACATTAACTACTAAAGCTATTTGTTTTGTAACAACATCAAATGCAACTTCAGTATTGCTTTAATGTCGTCTTCCTACTCTACAGTTTTCTAGTTATCACTGTAATCAAAATTGATTTCATAAATCCTGGGTTTTAACAATTATCTTTTATTATTATTATTAATAAGATCTTTTATTAATTGAAAAGGTTTTTGTATGCTTGACAAATCATTATAAATATAGGGCTTTAGGTCGTCAACAATATGCATGGTATGAATAAGCTAACTACAGAATTCTTAATGATTAGACAGAAAAGAAAGAGGTGACATACAAAAAGCGTACATCCGACCTATATCAAAAGTGTTCATCGGACCTACAAAAATGTTCATCCGACCTATAAAAAGCGTGTTTATAGTGCGACTTACCATAATCTGCTCCCGATGTACAGTACATAGGTCAGATTATAAATCCTTTTAAAGAAATATACAACTAACCTGTAGTTCACCGAACCTACTGTACTATAAGCAACACTACAGCAGCTGAAAACAGGTTTAAATTGCTTTAAAACAACGTGCGAGTAGGTCAGAAGTTTAATATTTGAGATTGGTTATTTAAAAGACGACATTTTATTACTGCATCAGGTATTGCATTTAAGCTCAATTAGCACTCTTTTAAAATCTTGTGTGTATCATACTCCTTTTTTAAAGTATTATTGATACTACAAAATTATCCTTATGTATTCACCAGTAAACCGTTTCTTACAGGCCCCCACACTGAAGCGATCACATCTCATCAACTTTGCTAATTAAAGATAGCGCATCAGAAAATCTACGCAAATTCGACGCAATATTCAATTTGTCCATAGTCCATTCACATCACTTTTTAATATGATTTAACGACGATATCTTCCTCATTGATACCCAGATGAATGTTTAAATGGTACTGTTGTTGACCTTTAATGGGTTAGTAACTTGAAATTACATCTATCAGTCCTTTAGATCATTTACTTTTGGTTTGAAGTATATGAAGTGTTTATAAAAAGAAAATTAATGTTTCATATCTTTTATGCAAGTAACCTTGTACTTTTTAACAGTAATCAATTATCTCATTACTTTTTAATTCAAGGTTGAATTCTTCTGATTTAATATCATTGAAATGAATTATTGAAAAATATAACGTCATAATATTTTTGTAATTATGTAATAGGATCTTTCAGCGTAAGGAATTCATATGATCCAATTAAAGAGCTTTCATCCAAACTTTTTTCTTTTTGGATCTGTTGTTATTGTAAACGCAGACTCTCCTATTCTTTTGTTGGCTTGGCTGTTGGGTATCCTACATGTTACTTTGCTTGGTAGTGGCACCGACGAACCTGAATTTATCAGAATTATTCATTAAATTTGAATACATAAAACTACGGAATTTAAAGACGAAATATAGACAATCTAAAAGTCTAAAAGTCGTCTTTATAATCCCCGGTTTTATTTTCACCAATGTATTTCTTTATTCCGCCTTTTTAAAATCCTCCAATAATTCATGCCTCAAACCATTTGTAATCAATTTTAAAAGACTTCTAAGTAAAAGGTCGTCCTTTAATTTGCATTTTTAACGAAACTTTTTGTGATATTTTTTCTCCTAATAGTGGATAAATCCCCATAAATCAATTGGAGATTAAGATTAATACATTAATTTATGTGATATTTTTTCTTTGCCTAAGATTAAACAGAAGACGAAATTTACCCAAAATTTTTTATAATATTAGAAATTTCTGGTCCCCTCTCTTCTTCATCGCATAAAATCCCATTCCATAGAACTTCAGAAAAAAAATTTGACGACATCTAAAAATTTTCATAAACAATTATTTGCTATTTTTGATAAAAAAGAGATGCGTAACTTTATCACAAATTCAGCTATAATTCACCAGACGATCCTCATATCTGACAAATGATTAAATTAATTTTAAAATACAAATTAATATCATTATTTTAGTTAACTTTTAGCACAAAACATTCACAATTATGTTAAATAAATAAGGATTTAATGTCGATCGTTAGACTCTCAAACAACCAAAATAACAAATGACGTCAAGATACAGCTGTACAGGCGTACACAATAGTCGGAGAAATTTCCAACGCCTCGTCTGTATAATTAGCAAAGACTTTGAATCTCATTATTTCAGGGGGTGCTGACTGCTGACAGGTCAGGTCACTCGTTTTTCTAAGTTCACTTATTTGACAAACTAAAAGCGCTTTGTTAATGTTATAAATAAATAAATATACAGGCTGCCCAAATAAACCTGGGAACTAAGTGACAACATCTGTATCGTCTTTGTTTCAAACCCTGTAAACTCCGGTTAATTTCAAGTACCGGGCCGACTTATGATCAGCTAGAGCATTATATAAGGCAAAACGGGACAGTAGACCAAATTAATGATCCTTTTCTATTGAAATTTATTTGAACAGTACCGGGCACTATTTGTCAACTCAATTCCAGTTTTTATTAAAAACATTAAAATTAGAAACCAATTTGTCTCAACAATTCCTAAATGTGGTCCACAATTTGCAGGGAAGGTTTCCAGTCCTAGATCTAAATAGGTTTCCTGTCCTAGATCTAAATAGGTATACAGTTCTAGATCTAAATAGGTTTCCTGTCCTAGATCTAAATAGGTTTACAGTTCTAGATCTGAATAGGTTACAGTCCTAGATCTGAATAGGTTTACAGTCCTAGATCTGAATAGGTTTCCAGTCTTAGATCTGAATAGCTTTCCAGTCCTAGATCTGAATAGGTTTCCAGTCCTAGATCTAAATAGGTTTCCAGTCCTAGATCTGAATAGGTTTCCAGTCTTAGATCTGAATAGGTTTCCAGTTCTAGATCTGAATAGGTTTACAGTCCTAGATCTGAATAGGTTTACAGTCCTAGATCTGAATAGGTTTACAGTCCTAGATCTGAATAGGTTTACAGTCCTAAATCTGAATAGGTTTACAGTCCTAGATCTGATTAGAATTACAGTCCTAGATCTGAATAGGTTTCCAGTCCTAGATCTGAATAGGTCTACAGTTCTAGATCTGAATAGGTTTACAGTCCTAGATCTGAATAGGTTTACAGTCCTAGATCTAAATAGGTTTACAGTCCTAGATCTGAATAGGTTTACAATCCTAGATCTGAATAGGTTTCCAGTCCTAGATCTGAATAGGTTTCCAGTCCTAGATCTGAATAGGCTTACAGTCCTAGATCTGAATGGGTTTAAAGACCGAGATCTATTATTTGTCATTAAAAACATTCAATCTTAGTATTTATTTACAATGTCCTCCGTCTTGACTTGAACCAGTCAGACATTTGGACAGTTGTAACACCCCCCCCCCTTCCAACCTCGACAGATCATGACCCTCCCCCGTCCACTCCCCTCCCCAGGGCCCACCTGAATTTAAACATGTTCAATTGCTTTTTCTCTTTCCAAAAATACTTTTTTATTCAATTAATTAGATATCTCCCAGGCACAGAATATACAGGGACTAGTTATGTTAATTACAATGTTTATGAAGTATATTTATAGAAAATCAATCAGAAAATGGAAACTTAGTATTCCCTTTAGTCCGATCTTAACCCGGGAGGATACACCAGCTTTTAGGATACAAATACAGAGATATTTAGGATACAAAGACAGGGATATTTAGGATACAAGTACAGGGATATTTAGAATACAAATACAGGGATATTTAGGATAAAATTACAGGGATATTTAGGATACAAATACAGGGACATTTAGGATGCAATTACAGGGATATTTAGGATACAAATACAGGGATATTTAGGATACAAATGCAATGAAATTTAGGACACAAATACAGGGATAGTATAGATACAAATATAGGTTATTTAGGATGAAAATACAGGGATATTTAGGATACAAATGCAGGGATATTTAGGAAATAAATACAGGAATATTTAGGACACAAATACAAGGATATTTCGGATACAAATACAGGAATTTTAGGAAACAAATACAGGAATATTTAGGATACAAATACTTAGGTATTTAGGAATAGGATACAAACACAGGGATATTTAAGATATAAATACAGGATACTGGGACATTTAGGATACAAAAGCAGGGGCATATAGGAAACAAATACAGGAATATTTAGGATACAAATACTTAGGTATTTAGGAATAGGATACAAACACAGGGATATTTAAGATATAAATACAGGAGTGTTGATACAAATACATGGGAATTTAGAATACAAATACAGGAATATTTAGGAAACTAATACTGGGACATTTAGGATACAAAAGCAGGGGCATATAGGAAACAAATACAGGAATATTTAGGATACAAATACGGGGGTATTTAGGATACAAACACAGGGATATTAAGGATACAAACACAGGTATATTAATTATGTTTGCACGAAATTGAAAATTTGTTAATTTTGAACAAATTTTAAAATATGCGATTTTTATAAATTTGAACATTTCGTATATTTGCGCATAGCTAATTTTGAATATTTTGTTCTCGACATGAGTTTTTATTTTAATACGCAAGATAAATACAATACAGGGATAATTAGGATACAAATATAATGTGATCTTAATTTAAACTGACCATTCTTGAAAAGATTACAACTTATTATCTTGAAAACTGACTATTTTCAAATGTGGTTCATCTATACCGGGTGACTTGCGCATTTCGGCTGTAATTATCGGAGCATTATCTTCCACATTGATCAAGAGATAAAGGTTTCAAGGGTACAGTTGTTAATCGAACATTAAATGGTGGGTTACTTGAAATTGCAATTTAAGACTCAATTCATAGAGATACGTATAGACAAGGTACTAATGCAAGGAAAGTTATTTCCGAGGTGTACGCATTTTTTGTACTGCAGTGTACTGTCTTTAGGCGGAAAAGTAAACACAAGACTGATTTTTCAGCCTGACATGGGATCCATCTTTCAAATAAAAAATCAATGAAATATTCTGGTCATAGGAAACTATTATGTAAATTATCTAAATTATCAAAATTGAGTGCTTTTAACCTCCTCGGACACTAAACGAACACTGATGCATATTCTTGTTTGCAAATTCCACCCAGAGAGAACTGGTTTCAATATGTACGCAGAGTATACGCTACTGCAATTAAATTTCCTTGTATTATAACCTTGCGTATAGATTACAAATATTGTGATATTTATTTAAGTTCTGGAAAATTGTTTAAAATTGTTTTCAGATTTAGATGCTATGTTTGCAATACAGTATAGTTTATTATAGTTTTCAGATGCTATGTGTGCAATACAGTACAGTTTATTATTGTTTTCAGATGCTATGTGTGCAGTACAGTTTATTATTGTTTTCAGATGCTATGTGTGCAGTACAGTTTATTATTCCAAGTATAATAGTTGTTGACTCTGAGAAAACAGCTGAGGATCAAATCAGGTTTAAAGGAACTATGAGTGTAATTTCAATAGACCAACCGTACATACATGGCAATGCTTGATATACAACCGTACTACCCTTTGTCTTATCAAGTATGAATTGGAAAAGCTTTGTTTTTAATTTGTTTAGTTAAAAATCGGGCATTGCCATTTTTTACATGGAGGGTCATTTGAAATTACGCTTTCAGTCACTTTAAAGGAGGTTTACAGGGGTTTTCCAATAGATTATATATATGGTAGATACAGAATTCGATTCTTTGATAAATACATAATGTATGCAAAACTTCTTGTTCTAGTTTTAATGAATTTACATAGAAATATTGTTTCCGTTTATAAGGGATTTTCATAGAAATATTACCAATGGATCCGCAAAGGAATAGAACCAAGTGTTTTACATAGAAATATTACCAATGGATCCGCAAAGGAATAGAACCAAGGGATTTACATAGAAATATTACCAAAGGATCCGCAAAGGAATAGAACCAAGGGATTTACATAAAAATATTACCATTGGATCCGCAAAGGAATCTAACCAAGGGATTTGCATAGAAAAAATACTAAGGGATCCGCATAGAAATAGTTCCCAGGGATCATTGTAGAAATATTACCAACAGTATGGAAAAAGTACCAAGTATCAAAATGAGATTCACATCGAAAAAGAACTAAGAAATTCATATGAAAAAAGTAAAACAAGGAATTCAAATTGGATTGGATCCGTGAAAAAGGCCAAGGGCTCTCCAGAAAGTAATGATCAAGGGATTCGGAAAGAAAATCTATTAAAAAGGATCCACATAGAATAATTTATTGGGTAAAATATTGAAATGATGTTTTTCCAGTTCTGCCTAAAATCAGAGAAGTCTCGCATTTGCAGTTTTTCATGAGAATTTCACAATTGTCTCCAAAGAACTATGTTTTATTATATTTCTGATGACTTCAGCAATAATGCAGAGCAATTATTTGGAAAATATTACAGGGGGTAGGGCTCAAATATTTAATATTGGGATAACTTTATAAAAAATGATCCTTTTTTTTAATACTATCATCTGATTAATTCATAAAACTAAATCATAATACAAATATATATTAATTTGAAGGAAGGGGGGTGTTCCAGTTTAGTTAAGGTGAAATTATTGCATATAAAGATTCGAGGGGAGGGGGGGGGGGCACTTCAAAGAGGGAGAAACGAAAAATGTATCTCTGAGAATGAAAATTTTTAAGCACTAAAAACTGGAAATAATTTCTCTTGATAAGTCGCTTTTTGAACTAGGTATTTGGCGCAGTTTTAAAGCTTTAAGGGACTGTGTCCACTTTTTAGAGACGAAACTCTGAATTTTTTCTTAAAGGGGCGTAAAAAACTAGTAAACTAGTAAACTAATTAGATGTTTAGGAGCATATTTCTCAAAAGAAATTTGTCAATAAATCAATGTTAGAATCAATTATTTCGTTTTTATCATTATATTGAATTTCTTATTTTCTATGAATTTGTTTGCAGATTTCTACAAATTCTGTAAATATCGTCTTTTCAATAAAAATTCCAGAAAATCTGCAGAAAATCTTTGTGAATAATGAGAGATTATAGAAACTAACAATTGAATAAGATTACTTATTTTCGATGATAAGAGTTAATTTTTATATTCTTAACCTGTTCCTTAACAACTAATAATTTTACAATTGAATTTTGTTTACATTTTTTGACGTCGTGATTTAATAATTTAAGAAAACCGATTTTAAAATCATTTCACCCAAATTCATGCTTTTGAACGTCGACTTTGCGCTCAAACTCAGTACGTCGTAGAAATGTTTTTTATGTCTCAAATGAATCCTAAATAATATGTCCACAACACTACATATTCAGTTCAACCACCATACATTGCCGGTCACTCCCTTTAACAGTCCCTTTAAGCGTTACCCGTCCTCTGGGATCAAAATGAATGAAATTTTTAAAAAATTTAATTGTTAAGTTTTCTCTAAATAGGGAGAAATCATAGTTTAGATCAGTTAACTTTCTAGTGATCTTCCCCTTCTAGAGTCTGAGTCTTCCAGTTTCTTGAATTGTTAGAACTAAATGACTTTCGTATTTTGTATTAGAAAGATTTGAGAAAAATATTGATTATTATGACGGATGATTATATTATTGATCAGATAATGGTTTAAAGGTTTGGAGCGTGTCCAACTTTAAATAAAAATATTTAAAGTTTTCAAATTTTTAATAGAACCCAGATTACGCTGTACACACCTGTGGATTACAACATAAATAAAGGAAAGTTTGAACTGGAAGGAGAAAGTAAAGACGCAGAAAGAAGAGGCGAAAACGGAGAAGGAAGAAAAGGAAGAACTGAACATGACGGGGTGGGAAGGGAAGGAAGAGGAGAAAACGGAGAAGGAAGAAAGGGAAGAACTGAACATGACGGAGTGGGAAGGAAAGGAAGAGGAGAATACAGAGAAAATGAAGATGAAGGAAGGAGAGGAAGAATTTCTAATAATGAAGAAAGCTCAAAGAAGGTTGATCTTTCTGAGAACAAAATCAAGGAAATCGTCCAAAGACAGGTTTGTATCTTGTAACTTTCAAGGAAGGTGTGTTGTAAATATGGCTTTAAGCACTCTACAGAGCGCAATCTATTTTCGTATTTTGCGTTTATCCAAAAATAAACTTTAATTTGTAAATATTTTCCTAAAAAATATTATTTTACAATTTTAAACTCGTTTGAAACATTTGAAAGTTAATGGAAAATGTGTTTTTTTTTTAATAAAAACTGACAGTTCGAGAATTAAGTAAGACCACGACGGTTTATATATCTTTATCTTTTTAAAAAACATTTAAATCAATTTTAAATCCAATTTCCATATGATATAAGTGATTTGAAATATATTCGACTATTTTTTGACCTCACACAACTTTCCTCCGTGATATAATCCATGACGACAGAGAACTTTTGAAGAAATTTCTCCATCAAATGACGTCACATCTTCATAATTTTATGTAGCATGAAAAAAACTTCAACAATAACTCTAAAAGAAACTTATTTAATAATACTGTATACAGCCGATGTAATATTACGCCCCCCCCCCCTGCACAAAATTTTGTTAAAATATCTAGAACAAAATTCATTTCAACTTTTTTAATTTTAAGTTTGAACAAAATAATCTCGATTTTGAATAGAAATCTTGTTCTTCGATTTTCAAAAAATTTACTAAACATTTGGTTTGTTTAGAAAAGAATTGAGACCAAACAGTGTGAAAAACCTAGAAGCCAGGAGAGAAAACTTATTAGGTGATATCATAAACAATTGTCAAAACTTTTTACTTCTTTATTCTTCTTTTCTAAAGTTTGACCCGAGGCCTTGGTTATAAAGCAAACTATATTATTACAATAGTTTATTATACCTATTATTGGCTTAATGGGAAGCTAAGTATTTTTGTACTAGCATACCAGTCGTAGACGTACAAGCTAGCAGAACACAACTATTCTTTTTGGCAGGTTTAACCCAATAAAGGCTGGGTGGTCTGAATCTATGTATAGCCGGGAGGGGGGAGGGGGGCCCTAGAGAAAGGCCTTAGAGAATAGGTAAAGGGTTGAAGTCCATGGTCATAGCCCAATTTTTCAAGGCCAGCTCATAGAAAAAAAAATTAGACCGATAACTTTAATAGTTTCTACACGCATTTTTAACGGCTTTTAAAAAATATTCTTTTTAATCTGTAGCTTTGGTCATTAAAGTCAAAATATTTTTCGGTGATAGTGTCAAAAATGAGAGTGCTAGGACAAAAAAAACCACAGGGGGGGGCACCAAACGCCCCCCCCCCAGCCTGTTTAGGAGTAAGTAAGTAAGTAGGAAGTGAGTTATTGTTTATTTATGACTATAAAATAACTAAAACATGGAAAATTAAGTGTTTAATGAGAAAATATTTAGAAATAGAGATTGTTGGAATTCCTTCCAATTCTCAAAGAAGGGAAAAAGAAAGTGACATATTTAATTTTTACATTACATTTAATGTATCTGCATGGTGAATTGTTAGGATTTGTGTCGATGAACTTTTAGAAATCAAATTATAGATTAATTTTTAATATTGAAATTACAAACAAATTTCAAATTAACAAAACTATATGATTGTAAAAATAAAAACATTGTATTAACAAATCAAAAGCACAAACATTTTTTTATTTCTGGCGCATTTCGTCATAAATAAATTTGTATTTTAAGAAATTTAAAATGTCCATTGTATTAGTTTTGGGTTGAATTTGGAAGAAAAGACTAGATAAATGGTCAATGTATCATATTGTTCACATGATAATGCAAAAATGTAATTAAACATTAAATATACCCTATACAGGGTGAGTCAAAAAAGTGTGATTTGCTTTTTTAATAGTCCTTAAGGTTTCAACTGAACAGCATATATTTAATACTTTACAATATACTAAGAAGAAAGGAACTAGAGAATTTAAATAACTTTTCCATAAAAATTAGACCAGAACTAAAAATTGTGAATTTTTTTATTACAATTTTGCGAATATTCTGTGGTTCTTTGATTCAATCTTTAACAAATTTTATATTTCGATAGAAATAATTTATATACACATTTTTGTTTTTGTGAACTTTTGATTTTAAGAGAAAAAAGTTGCGTGGATTTTCTTTTGGGCAATTGGAGTACCAACAAAAATTACAATTTTTCAAAAAATATTGAAAAAAAACACCATGCAGAAGAGTTGCACAAAAAAGGTGCAATTTTGCTGCACCAGGCGCCGCAAATCACACTTTTTTTTGACTCACCCTGTAAATATATGAAAACGTAGTATCCAGGGGGAGAAACGTCATGTATGCGTGTCTGTACCAAAAGAGTGTGTGAAAGTAATAACGAATTGAAGGCGTGTACCATGTAGATAGGTATATACAGTACATAAGAATATCGGTATTGTACCATAGATAAAGATAGATTGTGCATAAGACGACATTTTTCATCTTGAAAGATATAAATGTACAGAGATGTTTTAAAGATATTCCTATTATATAGATTAACGAAATTTAAGTTAGTTTAGTCCTTCTCATGTCCTTCTTCAGTTCTCGTCAATATGATATATCGCTCAGTGAAATATTGTTGTTCAAATAGTTCCATTCCCGGAGTTATCTTACACTCTATTATGAAATCCATTAAAACACCAAACCACCCCGCTTATCATTAAAGTACACTTTGACCCCTAGAAGTATGAGTTCGCGGACTGTACAATTCTTGGTGATTTTGCGTACATAACCTATCTATGTTTATTTAATTATCTATGTATTGTCAAAGATAATATATATATATAGATATGCAGGCAGGTAGAAACCTCCTTCCTAAATTGCTTGTAGCAGACAACTAATTTTTGAACCTCTGAGAAAAGGTGCAAGGAGAGACATCTATAGCAAATTGATTACTTTCTATATTCCTTTCTCCCCTTGCTGCCTTCTGTAGGAAATACGCATTTGTGTTATAAAAACATACAGTACACGTATTACATCCTGTATAGTTCAAGTGTTGCTATCTGGACCTGTTTGACCAATAAAATTAAATTTCTAAGGAAACACAAACATACAGTACGCGTTTTGTTTATGTTATGATCAGATCAGTTGTACTTTGTCCTAGATTCGATGTACTTTTATAGTAATAATTTTTATTTAAATTGCGTTAATTTACGTTTGCCATTCAGTACAACTTGCACATTTAAACTTTGTCTAGTCAAATTCCTACCTCAGTTTTATTTGCATTGATTAATTTGTTTCATTAAGTACAATATGCAGTATACATTGTTGATACTATAGTACGCATTTAGTGTTATCACGCTTAAACAAAGTGATAAATTAGCAACAATCCAGAGGATAAAATATGCGTACGACAGAGATGGTGCTGTTTGCACCTTTTCTCAAGACCTTAAATTTATACCTGCCTCAACGATAATATATATATAGATATGCAGACAGGTATAAATTTAGAGGTCTTGAGATAATGAGCACAAAGCACCATCTCTGTCGTACGCATGGCATTTTATCCTCTGGATTGTTGCTAATTTACAACACCAATGACGTCTTCATATTTTGAGCCTCAATACTTATTTCAGAAACAATTCCTGTGAGATCTATCCTAAAAGAAGCAAACGAATTTCTGTCGATGATGGAAGACGATATTTAGGAACTGATTCATAAATTAAGATACATAAATTAAAAACATATTTTAACAAAGATTTCCAAGTACAAAATCTAACTTTTTTATATCTGAGAAAACCATTAGATTAATAAATAAATAAATTACAAAAAAATTTATTCAAAGCTTGGACTTTTGAAGCAAGGAATCATTCTTTTATGGCATTTGTAAAATTGACTTAGACCAAAAAGGGAGAGGTTTGAGACAGGGGCGTACTCATGAAGTTGTCCAGGGGGGGGGGGCTTATATCCTCTGAAATTCACGGATTTCTCTGGTCTCCATACCCCCTCCCAGAATTCCCTTCTGGTTTGAGAAAGGACTGGGACTAAACTCCTTCGGATCGAGTTTAACACTAGACATCAGAAGATACGTATAAAGGCTATTAGGGACCGGCTCAGCAGCCCCCCCCCCCTTCCCCGTTGAATAAGTTAAAGTTAGGGTTTCGCTAATCCAGGGGTTTTTAGGTCTAAACGGGCCTTCTCCCACGATTTTGCTGCGACCTTTTCAATTCTGAGCTTGTTTGCAATGGACATACAGATCGTCAATAGGTCTAAATTACGATTTTCGGGACTAATCAGAAAATTTGAATCATTTTGTAAAATTGAACAACGCTAACAAAAAAGTTTTCTTACAAAAATTCTTGGTTTTTCGAGTGTTTTGTGTTTATTTTGGTGTTAAAGCTGGGAGATAATCTATTATGATATGGGACGCTCTTATTACCTTTACGAATCTGCAGAGAAACGAGTAATAAAACCTGGAAAACAAGAATCAGACAGATCAGTTGGGTTCACTCTAAAGTAAAAAACAATTTCTTTTACTATTAAATTGACAATTACTGAACGCTTTGCTCACCTGTTCTAATGCTAATTTTATCTGATAACCATTGCTCTTTAAGCTGCCATTTTCATTTCAATTGTATTTAGCGTCTTTATCTGTTTAAATTTGCGCATTTTCAAAAATGATGAATGGCAAAAAATATTCATCTCGAATCATTAAAAAAATCTTTCTTGTGGTCACATGCTTGAGCCACACAAAAAAGGGCCTCATTCGGTTTAGACGTTTTAACATTTTCTGGATGCAAACATGTAGTAAATGCCGTCTTAAAAGTTCGTCCCCCAAACTGTTTCTGTCCAGGCTCCACCTGTCCGCTATCCATGTCAACAAGGACACAACACACCTGGCTCTGAATGCCACACAGGGACACAAGCGTAGCTTATCAATCTAGCTATTACTCAGGCGCAGGCCTAAATGCCACAAAGGGGCACAAGCGTAGCTTATCAATCTAGCTATTACTCAGGCTCTAAATGCCACAAAGGGACACAAGCATAGCTTATCAATCTAGCTATTACTCAGGCCTAAATGCCACACAGAAACACAAGCATAGCTTATCAATCTAGCTATTACTCTGGCGCCGGCCTAAATGCCACACAGGGACACAAGCTTAGCTTATCAATCTAGCTATTACTCTGGCCTAAATGCCACACAGGAACAAAAGCATAGCTTATTAATCTAGCTATTACTCAAACCTAAATGCCACACAAGGACACATGCATATCTTATCAATCTAGCTATTACTCAGGCTCTAAATGCCACAAAGGGACACAAGCATAGCTTATCAATCTAGCTATTACTCTGGCGCCGGCCTAAATGCCACACAGGGACACAAGCTTAGCTTATCAATCTAGCTATTACTCAGGCCTAAATACCACACAGGAACACAAGCATAGCTTATTAATCTAGCTATTACTCAGGCCTAAATGCCACACAAGGACACATGCATAGCTTATCAATTTAGCTACTATTCAGGCTCTAAATGCCACAAAGGGACACAAGCATAGCTTATCAATCTAGCTATTACTCAGGCTCTAAATGCCACAAAGGGACACAAGCATAGCTTATTAATCTAGCTATTACTCAGGCTCTAAATACCACAAAGAGACACAAGCATAGCTTATCAATCTAGCTATTTCTCAGGCTCTAAATACCACAAAGGGATACAAGCAAGCTTATCAATCTAGCTATTACTCAGGCCTAAATGCTACACAAGGATACATGCATAGCTTTTCAATTTATCTATTACTCAGGCTCTAAATGCCACAAAGGGACACAAGCATAGCTTATCAATCTAGCTATTACTCAGGCCTAAATTCCACACAGGGACACAAGCGTAGCTTATAAATCAAGCTATTACTCAGGCCTAAATGCCACACAGGGACACAAGCATAGCTTATCAATCTATCTATTACTCAGACTCTAAATGCCACAAAGGGACACAAGCAGAGTATCAAACTAGCTATAACTCATACTCTAAATGCCAAAAAGGGACACAAGCATAGCTTATCAATCTAGCTATTACTCAGGCTCTAAATACCACAAAGGGACACAAGCATAGCTTATCAATCTAGCTATTACTCAGGCTCTAAATAACACACAAGGACATGCAAGCGTAGCTTTCAAACAAGCTACTAATTCGGCTCTAAATGACACACAGGGACACAAGCATAGCTATCAAACAAGCTATCAATTCGGCTCTAAATTCCACTCAGGGACACAAGCATTGGCTATCTTTCAAGCCCTTAATCGATCTCTACCCTAAACGAAATATGATCTAAACCCAAATACTTGTATTACAAGTTTTATGTAGTTAAGGATTAACGCAGTTAGATCCTTAGACATTATACAAAGCATTTTATATAAGTATGTTCAAACAGCATTTATTACAAACAAACACGCAAAGTATATATTGTATTTATTTTTAGAAAAAATCAATGGAAATCACAGGATTCAATATTAGAAACTCCTTCAGGCGTCAGGTATTGGTTGCTAGGCAACTATTTTATAAGTGTAAAAAGATAAAAATAAAGTAATTCAAAAAAATTATTTTAACTAACAAATATTTGCCATTTATACTACAACTCAAAAAGTAGAGTTATAGCTGATAACATTAAGTTTTTTTTATCAAATGCAAAATTTTATTTATTTTGACGAGCAATATCTCTGTGTTGAAGTCATAACTGGAGCTCTCAAGAACCTGGATACAGGGATAGTAGAGGGGTAAAATCTGGCTCTGGATCTCCAGGGTATAAACACAATAAGAGAGAAGGAAACGAGACCCGTCCTGTCCTAGCAGGTATGATCTCGAATTAGTATCAACATAAGGACTGCAATGTGTGGTTTCATTGCTTTTTTTTTGTAAAATTTTATAGTTTCAGAAATTCAGAGTTAGTGATTGATTGTTAAAAGTTAAAGATAATTTAATCCTTAGGAACCTTTGAACTTTGTGTTTAAAAGCCAATAAATAATTTTGAATTCAAATCTTTATATATTATCTGCTTATCTGTTTGTTTGTTGACCGTCAAAATTGAAAAATTTGGATCGAAAACTTACATTTGATTTTTCTTAATAAAAATCCGTGAAAAAGTTTAAGACTGACAAAAGAAAGAGCAACATTTAAACACTAAATTTTCCAATAGAGAAGTTGGCGCGAAGCACCTTATAACACCTTATATGTGGATATTTCAGGAGATATTACTCAAGGACGTATTGGACTATCCAACAACCGCGAGGAAAGGCTCCAACAAGACCAGGTTTAAAATGATAATAAACCGTAGGGGGTTTTAATTACCATATTTTATGACTGTGCAAAAGAAAAAAACTAATATACAGTTGTCGGAAATCATAAATACAAGGTAACAGATTCCGTACAGTCGTCTCTAAATTTGTCATCTTTTGTAACCCTGTATGCTATAAAACATCGATGAGAATTTTGTCAATTTCTTAAAGCCTCATTTCAGCTTTAGAATGTCATGGTATCGATTTGGGTGGAAACATCTAACAATCGACCCGGTGTTAATAGTTGGTGAATAATTTTCATAATTAAATTCCTTCTTGATATCCCGTGGTGGTTTTACTCTGCAGGGATAACAACTTTAATTGAGAGCTCAAGCAACTATAAACAAAGTAATTTTTGCTGCAAATTCTGATTTTTTAAACCCTATATTTTTGCAAACAGATGTCATAGACCTTTATATTTCAAACAATTGATTCCATATAGATCAAATTGTCTGAATTTAAAATATGAAATGTTTACACCAATCAGGGAGTAACAATTTTAGTTGTGGCAAAAACTCAGTTCCTTCAAAGTGTCCACATTGAATATCGAGATTAAGTGTTCAAAATTAAAGATACTCCGGATAAAGTTGATTTATTTTAATTTTAGATTAAATTGTGTAAATAAACTCATTATTGTTTTAGCTGGCAAAGCTTGGACGGAAAAACTCTGTGTCTTTGGAAAAGGAAAGACAGGAAAACGCCGGTTTAGTCTTTTCATCTGAATTAGGTATTTATTCTTTTTTTTTAATTTATTTGAATTAATGTAAATATATATATACATATATAAAGGGTCTTTTGTTTGAAATATATTCGTTAAATGATGTAATAGATGATTTTACAAAGCAATTAATGAGTTTAGGTTGCATTAATCCGAAATGTCTTTGTGACTAAGGCTTGAAACTTTAGAAATATGACGATCTCAAGTTAAAAGTAAGATTTCTGTCTTGAATCTAGTCTTTAAATGGCTTATTTAATGATTTGGTTAAGAAAGGAAGAAGTTGCAGGGTATCATGAATATACGGAAACAGACAGTACAAATTCCGTACAGTCGTCTCATCCTGTAGCCTAATAAATTAGTAAATACTAATAGAATTATAAAAACTAGACCAAATATTTAATATTTAGTTTACGAAGTAATGAAGGAGGAGGAGAAAAAAGACTATAAACCATCAGGTTCAGGTTCAGGAGCAACCATATCTCCGAACCCAACCAAAAGTAGGCCAGGATCAAGTTCTCCGGGTCTAAGAACCAGTAGAAGTAAGTCCAGAGGAGATGAAACTATTAAACATCCTAAAGAGGAACCAAAGCCTGAGGTGAAATATGTTTTGTGGGACATATCTGTTTATGTTTTCTGGGACATATCTGTTTATGTTTTGTGGGACATCTGTTAATGTTTTTAGGGACATCTGTTTATGTATTGAGGGATATCTGTATATGTTTTGTGGGACATACCTGTTTATGTTTTGTGGGACATATCTAATTATGTTTTGTGGGACATCTGTATATGTTTTGTGGGACATCTGTATATGTTTTGTAGGACATCTGTATATGTTTTGTGGGACATCTGTATATGTTTTGTAGGACATCTCGATTTGTTTTGTGGGACATCTGTATATGTTTTGTGGGACATCTGTTTATGTTTTGTGGGACATCTGTATATGTTTTGTAGGACATCTCGATATGTTTTGTGGGACATTTGTTTATGTTTTGTAGGACATCTGTTTATGTTTTGTGGGACATCTGTTTATGTTTTGTGTGACATCTGTATATGTTTTGTGGGACATTTGTTTATGTTTTGTGGGACATCTGTTTATGTTTTGTGGGACATCTGTATATGTTTTGCAGACCATGGTTAAATTTTACAAACGAAAGAGTATTAAATTAATCTTAAACATTTTCTCTAAAAAAACTGCACTGTCGGTTCAACTACGTTACCTAGCCGGTCTCTCCCTTTAAGTCCATGTGTCTTTTCAGCGAGTAGTTCCGGATGCTATAAGAAACGCTGTTCCCACCGGAACTGTTCTAAAGAAAAGGGATCTAGAGTTTTGTAAACGTCACACAAGATTTGATGAAAAGGTGACGACATTATTTTTGTAAAATTTTGAATAAATTAATTAAATTTATACGAAAAGTGAACTTAATTTAAAAAGTTAAAACTGAGCTCGGAACTTTAATTCCTACTGCTTAATCCGAATATCCACTATGGAAACTTTTACTATTAGTCCTTAATCCACTCTTTTTCTCTTTCTTTGGAGTGCGGGAATATTGTTCGTAAATTGTATTGACCATTGACAGCTTTGAAAATAAATTCGGAGAACAAATAAAATGTTTATCCTAATCCTAATCAATCAATTAAGTCGGCAATATACACCATATATAGCCTGCTTAAAGAAAAGTACCAATGAAACTAATATCTTGAATCGAACTCTAATTTTAGAATCTCTATATATTTTCAACCTGATGGTGTAAACCTTTGACATTTCAAACTTTATCTATATGATTGCGGGTGTGACCTTATGACATTAGTTTGCGAAGATATAAATTTTAAAAAATTGTAATTTGCTTCAAATATTTAGTTTTTTTGCATGCTCAATCATTGATCTTAAAATAAACAAATATCTAAATATTTCATTCTTGTCAGATTATTGACTTCATTTCCTTCCAATATTTTCTCATAACCTTTTGACATTTTTACCAAAAATGCAAAAATTTTAATGGGAAATCTTATTTTTGGATTTAACTGCATCCCTTGTCATGATCAAGCTTTTCGTCCAGAGACAGGGACAGACTTATCGATACTTTTTCTTTTACCCGGACAACGCTTTCAAAATGTTTTTGATTAACGGTAATTACAAATCCAAATTTTTGTCTCTCTCTCAACCATGGTTTCCAATGAAAAGGGAAAAAGTTCTCAACTGCAATGCAAACTTGTCTCATTCTGAGAAACATTTTGAAAAGCTTAATCTTGACTGAAATGACATCATTGTTTCTTTCTCTTGTTGTTTTTCTTCAATAAATTCAGCAATATTTCAGACAATAACCTGGTGGTTTAAATCATTCAGAAAGGTAAAGGATTATACAGGGTGTCCCATTAAACATGAGATCTAAGTGAGGACCATGTGATCGCCTTTGTTAAGAATCAGCAGTATCTCGTCACTCGGTTCAATTCCTATGTTTATTTGGACACCCTGTAGTTTTAAAACAATACAAAGATAAAATCACGAAACTTTTTGCGATGAAATAAAATAAAAATCTATAAGTTATTGAATTACTTATTATTACTGGTTACAACTTTACAAACTATTTTATTTTCAACTTTTAGATTCAAAATTTTTGATTTGGAAACATATTGAAAACATATTTCTTTAAATGGAATGTCTAATAATTATCTGACTCTTTTTTTGGATGATGCCATAATGGATTCACAATTGTACTTTTACTCAAGCATGTCTATAAGGAAGACGGGAAAGATCGCGGCCAAAATTTATCTAATTTTAATTTGAGAATCGAAATCGTTTTTAAGTGCAATTGTATACAAAACAAACAAGAAATATCTTGAAATATTAACTTCATATCTGAATGATTTGTTTGAAATTAAATTGACTTCTTTACGATTCCAGTCGCATGTTGCAACTTTCTGAATTTGTACGGAATCTACGTTCTTCAGTATAAGTCGTGTTTAACAATTTTCTCCTTATAGACGCAAAAGATGAAAGTAAGATTAGTTGCGATCAAAAGCGATTATTTTTAGCCGTAAACCTATACCCCCTTTCATTTTTCGCGAACACTCCCTTTAACGGTTAAATGGTGCTCTTGTGAATCATTAAGAGTCAATTTGAACTAGGTTGACAATTTATCTGATATTTTGCAAAGGAATGTCCGAACGGAAAGCTGTCACGTGCCCATCTGCTCCAGCTGTTTCGTCAGGTCTTTCCGGCGGGCAATGGAGAAACTTTCTGTACTCATATCTTCCGAATATTTGATTCAGATGGAAATAGTTTCCTAGATTTTAAGGTATGTATGAAAGGTTTATAACGGAAGTTGATTTGACTTCCACGTAATTTGCTTTCCTCTCATTCATCGCAATTCAGTACAATTCGGGCACAGTTCTTCGCAATTCCGCGGAACGGAATTCTGATTGGAAACCCTTCATGAATACAATGATAATTTGTTTTGTATTTTTCACAGATAGAGACAATATAGAAATACAAAAGTTACAGGGATGAAGAGATTTTGCTTTCTGAAAAATTTACCACAAAAATAGAAAGAAAAAGTATTTCGTTTCTGATAATCATTATATTCATGACCGACCCCCACCCTCCCCCCTTCTGGCTCTCAATGAAAAGTAGCACTTGAAACTTTCCACTCTACGAATTGAGAGGGTGATGGGATGGGCAGCTCTTTTTATTATTGGGTTTCCAAGACCAGATAACTCTACGATTGGAAAAGATCATTTCTGAATATTTTACAGGAATTCTTGATGGCTCTAGATATTGCTCAGTGCACAGATGAAAAGGAAAAGTTAGAATGGGCTTTCAGGTAGTTTTCTGCTTATTTTTTCAGAAAATTCTCAAAGTTACTCCCGTCGTTTACCCGCGTTTAATCTCAAATTATGATTGTATCATTGCCCGAGGTAACCCGTGGAAAAAAAGGAATTTTTATATTTTTTGTCAAGATCGCCCCCCTGGATACCCATGGGTTCTTTTTTTTAAATGTCAGCCAATTTGGTTCGGCTGTTTGGACAGCACACGAACATAAAACTGAGCAAAGAGTTTGATTGTATAGATACAAATGATTTCGAATTCGTGACTTAATTCCCATGTTTTTTTGGGACAACCTGTTATTCCTTCAATTTTGAATTTTGATGCTTTTGGAAGTATAAAAACCTATATCTTGAATGTATGATGTTGATGCTAGTGGAAGTGTAAACCTATATATCTAGAATGCATGATGTGAATGCTAGTGGAAGTGTAAACCTATATCTAGAATGTATGATGTTGATGCTAGTGGAAGTGTAAACCTATATATCTAGAATATATGATGTGAATGCTAGTTGAAGTGTAAACCTATATCTAGAATGTATGATTTTGATGCTAGTGGAAGTGTAAACCTATATATCTAGAATGTATGATGTGGAAGTGTAAACCTATATATCTAGAATGTATGATGTGGATGCTAGTGGAAGTGTAAACCTATATATCTAGAATGTATGATGTGGATGCTAGTGGAAGTGTAAACCTATATATCTAGAATGTATGATGTTGATGCTAGTGGAAGTGTAAACCTATATCTAGAATGTATGATGTTGATGCTAGTGGAAGTGTAAACCTATATATCTAGAATATATGATGTGAATGCTAGTTGAAGTGTAAACCTATATCTAGAATGTATGATTTTGATGCTAGTGGAAGTGTAAACCTATATATCTAGAATGTATGATGTGAATGCTAGTGGAAGTGTAAACCTATATATCTAGAATGTATGATGTTGATGCTAGTGGAAGTGTAAACCTATATATCTAGAATGTATGATGTGGATGCTAGTGGAAGTGTAAACCTATATCTAGAATGTATGATGTTGATGCTAGTGGAAGTGTAAACCTAGTGGAAATGATAAATATAATCTCTACTATGGATGATCTTGAAGGGGAAGAAGTTAGGCCTGGAATGGATTCTCCTGCTGAAAGGTTGATTTATTAAGTTCTTTAAATATATTTTTGAATACAGACTAAATTTCATCTTGGGTTCATATTTTGATCTTCCATAGTTTAATATTTTATGAAAATTTATGAAATAAAGAAAACAAAACCTAATAATTTTTTTTTACTGTTTTCTACAGCTTCTAGTTATGAAATTTCTGGTGTTGGGACATTTCATAGAAAGACATTTCATAGACAGGACATTTAATAGAAAGGACATTTCATAGATAGAACATTTCATAGATAGGACATTTCATAGATAGGACATTTCATAGATAAGAGATTGTATAAATAAGAGATTGTATAGATCGGACATTTCATAGATAGGACATTTTATAGATAGGATATTTCATAGAATACATCTCATAGACAGGACATTTCATAAATAGGACATTTCATAGAAAGGACATTTCATAGATAGGACATTTCATATAGAGAGAATATTTTTCATACCGTGTTACCCACTAAGAATGAAACTTTAGGTAGGCTCGTATAGAATTTAAACTGCCTTGTTTCTTATATTTATGCTTTCCTGCAAATGTGATCTTATTTCTTTCCTTCACAAATCATTAAATAAACCATTAAACAACTGTTTTCAGGGCAGAAGACTTATTTTTACATTGAGATCGTCATATTTTAAGGAGTTTAGGTCGTCTTTACAGTCTCATCCTTTGTGGGTAACCCAGTAGATAAATAATTTGTATTCGTCCAAGTTTAATAGATCAGGCCCTGTTTTTGTTCAACGATCTCTCTGATTTTTCACTTCACATATTTTTCATGTTTTAGCTTTATACTGATAACATATCATATTGTTGATTTATTGTTAGTCAAACTGATTAAATTTTCTAAAATTGGGACATTTTTTTACATACCCTAAACCTTAAATTGTCTATGAAAAATCTGATCTGTTTATGAAAAGTCCTATCTATGAAATATCCTGTCTATGAAATGTTCTATCTATGAAAAATCTGATCTGGTTATGAAATGTCCTGTCTATGAAAAGTCCTATCTATGAAATGTCCTTTCTATGAAAATTCCTATCTATGAAATGTTCTATCTATAAAATGTCTTTCTATATGAAATGACCCATAACACCAAATGCTTATGACATTATACGGTAGCTAGTTTAATTTCAAAACTGTAGGATCCGACATTTTTAGTAAAATATGTTAGCTCTAGATTAATTTATCGGGATGTATTTGATCGGATTGTGTGTTAAAATCCGACTTTTAGATTTAAAGTGGTGACCAAAATATAAAGGTATTCTTATATCAGGGCTCGCGAGGTGTTTAGCAAGCTTGATTTGGATGGAGATGGGTCCTTGACAATGAAAGAGTTTGTATCAGGATACCTTAAACTGCTTGATATTCCGGAATCTTGAAGTAAACCTTAAACTACTTAATATTCCGGAATCTTGAAGTAAACCTTAAACTACTTAATATTCCTGAATCTTGAAGTAAACCTTAAACTACTTAATATTCCGGAATCATGAAGTAACCTTAAACTACTTAATATTCCGGAATCTTGAAGTAAACCTTAAACTACTTGATATTCCGGAATCTTGAAATAAACCTTAAACTACTTGATATTCCGGAATCATGAAGTAACCTTAAACTACTTAAAATTTCGGAATCTTGAAGTAAACCTTAAACAACTTGATATTCCGGAATCTTGAGGTAAACCTTAAACTACATGATATTCCGGAATCTTGAAGTCTTAAACTACTTGATATTCCGGAATCTTGAAGTAAAACTTAAAATACTTAATATTCTGTAATCATGATTAAACCTTAAACAACTTGATATTCCGGAATCTTGAAGTAAACCTTAAACTACGGAATCTTGAAGTCCAACCTTAATATTCCGGAAAATGAATAAAACCTCAAACTACTCACACTGCAAAAAGTCTCATTAATGTGTTCTTACTGTGCAGTGCTCATCATAATTATATGTCTTCGTCAAAAATGTATATTATATCCTATTGTATTACATCCTAAGAAACTATTTTTTTCAGAAACATAAATGTTACCAAAAACTCTGCTGTTTCGAAAGTAAAGCAGTAAATTTTAAACTGGAAATATTGTAAAATTTACTTCAAAGAAGAATTTTGTTAAAGCTTTGATAATGTCGTAAACTATCAGCATTTCCTTAATTCAAAAATATTTCTGATTTTGTCGTAATTTAATTTTGTTTGTTTTAATGAAATTCTTATACATGCAAAAAGGAATTCAGTTTTTGCCACAAACTAAATTTTCTCATTCCCATATTTTTGCAATTCATTGTCGTAGACCTAAGATATTTCCAACTATGAATTCTGTTGGATTAAATAATAAATATTTGAAATATCAAAGGTTTACCATGAGGTTGCAAATATAAAGGGGATTAGAAAGGTTGAGTTTGAAGAAAATACCCAGTTCCTTCCATTGAATTAACTATTAGTATATTTTGAACATTGAAAAAGAAATGGAAGAAAAGAAATGTAACTGCCAAGAAACAACTTTAATTATGCCTGACTTGCATTTTTCGTAAGAAAAACTATAATAGTAATCAATAACTCGTCTCCACTCTATACCCGTAGTAAATTTGAATTTGAACAGGACCTACCCAGTTTGTACCGGCCTGCCAGATAACAGCGTGAACTGACCCGATCCTATGGTACAGTACGTCGCCCTAACCAGACTAACATTTGACAGGGGTCAATTTTCTTGGCATAGTCCCGTGCGAGGGCTAACTATGACAACTCCCATGGCGCGTTCAGACTTTTTACAGTACCCGGCCTAATCCTAGGCCTATTTGACCGACCCCACTGGCTTAGTCCACCGTGTCTCATAATGTAATTATTTATCAAAATCTTGTTTTTGACGAGTTAAAGTTTATTTAATTCTTATTTAAAGGGGTTGCATGCGTAATTTCAAGTGACGGAGATGTACAACGGTACCCTTAATTGTAAACTAGAAATCAACATGTATAATCCTGAAAACTGAAATTTTTCAATTGTGGTTTATTTACAAAAGTGAACAAGATTGATCTGACTTAACAACTTTGAAACCAAGTAACATGACAAGATCTTCCACATTATTGATTAGATGAAGGTTTCAAGGGTACCATTGTGAATCAGGAACTGACGTTTTTGCAAAAAGGGTCACTTAAAATTATGCATACAGTCCCTTTAATGTATGATACTATTAATATGTAAAATGTATGTTAATATAGATATAAAAGATGTTAATAATGAGTGCTATGTACTTACAATTATATCTTTTTTATTCTTTTGGCATAATGTCACTCAGTATATACTTTCTCCCAAATATAATTTAAATAAAATGTTGTTTCGTTCTTTTTCTTCATTTAAAAAGTTATGAAGATGAAACATGGATAACAAAAAATAACATTAACTATCCGACTGCGCGTAAAAACTTTGGGCCTCAGAGTTATTGTGAACGAAAAACCCCAAAATTTTGAAAAGACGACATCTAGCGTCCTATTTGCTATTTGAATTAATCTATGGTCTCCACAATGCTGGAAATTCAGTGTTTTGTTTAAACAAAGCTTACAAAAATTATAAATCACAGACTACACAGACTGCTCATACACTCTACCTAAATAGGCTGAGCAGACCTATTGTGTCCCGGCACGCCATGCTTTGGTTCCATGTAATGTTTTCTGACTGAAATCTCTCGACCACTTGTTGCATTCAGGGGTTAAGTTTTATAACTTTTAAAGAAATACTCTAATTTTAAACATAAACATAACGTTTATGAATATTGTGTATTTTTAAAGATTTTGCATGTCCTATTCAAAGGATCCATGAATATCCCTGAATACAGATGTCTCCTGATTGGTCGTGTACAGTCCTTGTACACAATAGAACATGCTGTGGAAAATATCGCATATTTTAGGTGTTAATCGATCTCTGTAACTCTCTTATCTCTGTTATCAACTCAAATTGAGCTCATACAAAGTTTGTGATCTTGTAAACTCAGTTTTTGGGAACTAGAGTTTCCAATGCGCGATAATAGCGCAAAACTTTATCTGTAGTTGGCTAACTTATCTTAACAAATTTAAAATTTATCTTGACAAAAAACAAAATTTTTCTAAAAATTTCAAATTTACAGAAAAAAATGCGAAATTCCTAAAATTTCAAAATCATCTGTATTTTTCTTACCCTTTTAAACATTAAATATTCATGTAGACAGATTTATATTGTTTTTTTTCAACTATTATTTATCATAAAAAGGCTAAATAAAAGACAGACCATAAATAAACAGAATAAATTATATAATAGTTCGTCTATCAAGTCTGTCAAATCTGAAGATTATATTTATAAATCTATATCTTTGACGAATACAAAATTAGTTAGTTGTTTCGGATCCAACTTCGAATAAAAGTTTCATTTTTTATTTAAGTAAAAAATCAGTCATTTTTACTTTGTCAATTTATCATGCATAGGTTTGTATTTAGATTTGTTTATTATTGCACAGTTATTAAGCTTATTATTGTATGTTTTTAAAATACTTTGGTTTAATTTTGTATATTTGTATTACATACTTTTATCCATTTACTGTAAATAAATAAATAAATTCAGATAACGAAAAAAACCTTTTCTAATAATGCTTGATATTTAGATAAATATAATTTATTTTCAACCACAGGGTGTCCCACGAAACATGACAATAGCAAGACGACTTGAAAGTCGTCTTTGATATTTGAATTTATTTGTGACATTTAGTCTTCTATCTACTTTAACAAGTATGATTCTTGAAACAATTATCACATAATTCTCCTAGCCCTGGCCTTTACAAAATGTGGTCTGCGTTTTTTGTGGTTTCAATATTACCGGAGATATAATTCAGATTTCAATTTTGTTAAATAAAAGCAAAATTGTCGAAATCTGAACGAAATTGTTCATATCTTGGGTAATATTGAAAGCACAAAAAATGCAGACCACATTTTGGAAATGGCAGGACTAGGGGAATTTTGTGATTATTATCTCTAGAAACTTACTTCTAAAATTAGGTTGACAAATAAATGCAGCAAATTATATCAAAAATCAAGACGATATTCAAGTCGTCTTGCATACTGTCATGTTTCGTGGGACACCCTGTATGTATCTCAAAGTTGAAAATAAATTATATTGATCTAAATATCAAGCATTATTAGAAAAGGTTTTTGCATGGTTAAATTTTACAGTGTTACAACTATGGAGCGAACCTAAATTTTCTTGGTACCTCAGGGACATCAGATAGAAATGTTATTGGTCGCGATCATCTCTTAACATTTTATAGCTTTAGCCTATACCCCTATCATTTTACCTTAACAGTCCCTTTAATCATAGTTAATTAATTTGATAATAACTACTTTTTTAAATAATTCGAACGAACAAATTTTCAAAAAAAATATTATTTATTGGTTCAAAATCTTACCTTACAAAATCAGCATTGTTCAAGATGTTGTTTATAGACTGAGAAAAATAATAAACAATCCGCCAATAATTCTTTGCGACCAATTTGCTATTAAATATTTATAAAATTTGTTTATTATAAAAAACGTCACGGGTAGTGTTAAAAAGATATAAGAAAGGTATTTCAAAATTCATTATATTTATTAAAATTGAAATTGATCACATGTGCCAATTCTAAAAGTTGCACAATTTAGAATAACCAAATAGGTTGTCAAGTCTATGACAATCTATTTGAGAATAACTATATAAATCGAGTTTAGCATTCATAGAGTCACATGGCCATTTAAATTGATTAAAAGACTTTGATTTAAAGTTACAAAAAAGCAATCACACATCCATATTCAAAAATAGAGCGTAAAATAACTCAAACAAATATCAAAAAATTCTCCATAGCGTGTGAAATAAATGTATAGGCTTGTATTTGTTTATCGTAAATATGTATTGGAGACACCTAGCGTTAAAAATTTTAAGCTGAAAATACTCATGCGTTCTCTCTATGCAAGTCATGCTGCAGGTATAAATACACACTTGCACGCACGACAGATTGTTCTGAAACGTGAGTGTACTGTGTAGTGTATATACAAGGAGTATGTACTGTGTAGTGTATATACAAGGAGTATGTAATAGAAGGGAGATATAACTGACGCGGCCCACCCTACCATATGATTATACATGCTATGCAGACGGTACTCCATTTGAATAAGAAGCATTTGTCTGATGTACAATTACCGCGTATACAATAACCTATTCTGAATATTTTTATACAAATGGAGTACACTTCTGCAAAGCATGGAAATCATATGGTAGGGCGGGCCACGTACGTTGTATCTCCCTTCTATTTCATACTCATATATATATATATATATATATATATATATATATATATATATACCACAATGGATGTGTATGCCCTTGAAACCGGGATAGATAGATACATCAAGTAAAGCGTGTTCCAATAAACATAGTAATTAATAAAAACATAAAAAAAAACAATGTAATAAAATAAAGGTCGAACATTTTTATGAACTTTTCAAAATGTGGTCTACCTTCTTTATATTTTTTCAAACTGAAAAATATATAAACATTTTCACAATTTTGTTGTTATTTAATAAAATGAAATCTGGACAGATTTCTTGAAATATTGTATTTGTAAACCACATTTTGGAATTACCTATACTAGAAGTTTTAATTAGTAACTGTTTTAACTTGGATACTGCATAGGCATAGACACAGGAAGTACAAAATATTCGGTTTATATGTACGTCTAATGAATTATACTTTTTAGTCTTTGATCTTAAAATTTATTCATAAAACTCATCTAAACATTTATTTAAAAATTGTTCCTTAAAATAATTTAATAGAAGAAAAAAGAAGAAAAAGATGATATTTATTTTGACAAATTATAGTTTATTATTTTATGTTAGGTAGGTAGGTAGGTAGGTAGGTAGGTAGGTAGGTACGTAGGTAGGTAAGTATACAGGTAGGTAAGTATACAGGTAGGTAAGTAGACAGGTAGGTATGTAGGGTAGGCAGAAGGAATATAGATACAAGGAATGTAAAGGTAGAATTATATAAATAATGTGTACTGCAGTTTATGAGAGGAAAGTAAACAAACCTTAGTCTGGATATTGGACATAAATGGATAGAGATAGACAGATATTTAGATATGAAGATAAATAAATACCTCTAGTGCAATGAAACCCTTTTCTATCCAGTAATGAGCCCATTCTACTCGGCATTCCTATTTAAATATATAAAAATTTTACTAATTTGAGAAAAATTGAATTAAAATAAAAACACAGCCAAAAAATTTGCATTGATCAAGCTCTTTTTGTAAAAATGATGTTGTAAAACATAAATCCAATTTGAGACCTTTTCACTTTTTTTGATTTTTAAAAAAAATATTTTTCGCTGGCGCTGGATTTTCGAACATTCCTGGAAAATATAAAAATGTCGTCTTCATTATCAAAAATCCTCGAAACAGAAAAATATTTTCATAAGCAACTCTCAGATCATGAAAAATACAAAATATTATGAAATATCAATTATTTACGAATGCGTCGAAAAATAATCGATGACTATTGTTTGTAATATCTGAATGATTTGTTTGGAATTAAATTGATTTGTTTACGATCCGAGTTGAATGTTGCATCTTTCTGGATGTGTATGGACGTTACGTTCTTTGGTATTAGTCGTTTTTAATCATTTTCTCCTTATAGACACAACAAGTAAGATTAGTAGCGATCAAAAGCGCTTTTTTATCTCATTAAGCCTATACCCCCTTTCATTTTTCGCAAACACTCCCTTTAATTTTGATAATTTCAACCATGCTTCTTGTAAGCAATGGCAAGTCACTTTTACTGAGAATCCGCAAATGAAATTGAACAATGAAACATCAACAAGGTTAAACAAACAGACTAAGCTGTACTGTTGTAAATCGGGCATTGTCAGTTCTTTGCATGTAGGATCACTTGAAATTACACTTACAGTCCCTTTCATTGGTTAAATTTGGATCGAAAGTAATAGCTCCTGAGGTAAAGACAGAACGGATTAACTTGAGAGAGTCCATCCTGAAAACGACCTGGTCCTGGCTGTGTTTAACAAGCACGGAGAGGTTTTGTATTGGTTGAATCCCTGAGTTTATCATCTCACAAATCATCCGAACCTACCACACAAACACAATTGAAAATAGAATAAGATCAAACCTTTTGTTTTTTTAATCCAAAGGTCCGTCTTTCTCAGGATCCAAGGATCAATTTATTTTCTAGAAGAAGGAGAGAAAACTGTTCTTATACCTTAGCCCTGGATTCTGGATCTGCAGGAAGAAGATTTGCTTCAGGAGCAATCTCGTTTATGTATTCCATAATGAAACAGATATACTTTGGGTAATCTGGAAACAGATATACTTCTGATTAACCTGGAAACAGATATAATTTGGGTTAACCTGGAAACAGATATACTTTGGGTAATCTGGAAACAGATATACTTCTGATTAACCTGGACAGAGAAATACTTTGGGTTAACCTGGAAACAGATATACTTTGGCTTAACCTAGAAACAGATATTTGGGTTAACTTAGAAACAGATACTTTGGGTTAATCTAGAAACAGATACTTTGGGTCAACCTGGAAACAGATACGTTAGGTTAACATGGGAAAAGATACTTTTCGGTTAATCTGGAATCAGATAAGCTTTGGGTTAACCTGGAAACAGATATACTTTGGGTTAATCTGGAAACAGATAAGCTTTGGGTTAACCTGGAAACAGATATACTTTGGGTTAATCTGGAGTCAGATACTTTGGGTTAACTGGAAACAGATACTTTGGGTTAACCTTGATATAGATATGCTTTTTGGTAACCTTGAAACAGTATACTTTGGATTAACCGGGAAGAAGATACTTTGGGTTAACTGAAAACAGCTACTTTGGGTGAACTTGGAAACAGATACAATTTAGGTTAAAGGGACAGTAAAGGAAAAATGAAAGGGGGTATAGGCTGAAAGCTAATCACTTTAGCTCTTGATCGCGACCCATGAAAGTCATATCTGATGTTCAGGTCTCGAGAAATTTATATAAAACTGTGTCAAATATATACGAAAATTAATATATATAAAATTTTGTGTAAAAGTAGTAGGTTTAAACAGATCATATTCAGCAAGTAAGCAACCAATCTGAAAACGATGATATCCCAGAGAAAGCTAATTGTAAATTAGGTTTACTTTTATATTTGTTATTTCTATTTTCAATAGATTTCATTCATAATTTTATTTTTACGTCCGTATTACTTGACCAGAAATTCCACCAATGGCAGTGCAGTAAAGTGGTCACGTGATACAGGCGGAGACACGTGACCAGTATACTTCTCTGCCATTGGTGATAGTTCTGGTCACGTGATTTAAGTTTCAGATTTTCAAAATTTTACTTATATGAATTTTCGTGTAATTTTAACACAGTTTTATATCAGTTTCTCGAGACAGAAACATCAGATATAACTTTCATTGGTCGCGATCAAGAGCTAAAGTGATTAGCTTTCAGCCTATACCCCTTTTCATTTTCCCTTTACTGTCCCTTTAACCAACAGATACTTTTGGTTAATCTGGAGATAGGTATACTCGAGGTCAACCTGGAAATAGATAATTTGGGTAATCTGTAAACAGATACTTTTGGTTTATCTGGAATTATCTTAATAGTTATTGGTAGGTAGTTGAACTACTGTGGGCCGGTATAAGAAAAAAAAAGTGGTTTATCTAGGAGTCTTGTCAGCAGGGAACTTTGGAGGAATCATGCTTCATTTTATTTTAGTTATTCCTTTTTCGGATCAAAGCTCCATTCATGATAACCATCTTATCCCATGCGATATCAAAGAAAGATTAAATTAATCCGCAGATTAACAAAAGATCGAAATCCTACACTGATCTCGATATCCGCAATTCAAGAGTTCCCAGCTCTGTGTAAGGAATTGAGTTTTAGCCACAAACACTGATTTTTAATTTCCATATCTTTTCCCCAATGTCGTAGACCATGGATATTTAAAATTAAGAATTATATATGATCAACTAATATAAGTTTGAAATATCATAGGTCAACACCATCAGGTTGCACAGATATAGAGATAAGAAAATTTGAGTTTGTGGGGAAGACCATAATTCTGTTTATTATGAAATATCTGCGGAGTGTAATCTTACTTCATTCCATTGATCTCAAGAGTAGGAAGCTGGCACAATGGATTCAGGGAACTAAAAAAACATTTTATTTTTACCCGAATAGGATGACAATTCAGAGACGATGTCACAGAATTTATAATTACTTTTTCCTTAGAATATTGATCCTGCAACTTTAATCTTGTTTTTTATATCCAAAGTCAAACCATTAAAAGAATTGTTAGAAAAAGGTATTTAATTGTGGATTCGTTATATTTTTATTGAGTTACATGTCGTCTTTGTAGTTTCATGCTCTATGGGTAGCCCTGTAGGTAAAGGGTGTTGATTAAAATACCACAGTACTGAAAGATAACTAACAAAATCAGAAAGAGGAGTGCCAAAAATCCAAAAAATGTTCCAAATAACGGACTGCGGCACTGCACTTGATCTGTTTTTAATGAATATGATAATTTTCAACAAAACCAATAATTTTACGAAAACATTCGATTTTGCCCAAGAAAACACTAAATAAGAAAGAGTAAAAAAGAAATGTATAATGATTATTTATTAAGATATCTTACCTATACTCAGTTTTCAAATGCTCTCCACCATCCTTCACTAAACATAAAGAAATTGACGATTATACATATACTGAGCGTCCAATATCATATTAGATTATCTCCAATCTTTAACGCCAAAATACGCACATAATACTCTAAAAATCTAGCATTATCAGCAAAATAAATTTTCTATTAACCTTATTAAATTTTTCAAAATGATTCATTCTTCTTAAATTTTCTGATTTTTCCCCCAAATCGTAATTTAGACCCATTGACGCGGTCTAATTTGATGTGGGACACCCTGTAGTTCCTCGAGAAGGAAGTCTTTCAAGCAGGGTTCAAATCATCAATTTAAAAATATGGCTTGCTCTCTTTTCTTTGTAAAATTTAAGGCGGACAAACCAACCCGGCCAAAAGTTGTAAGGCCGGTGTCGTGTGTGAGAGCCTACCTCGCCTGGAAAAATCTAAAAACCAATGTTTTGACAATTGCCTTTATTAAATAAAGTATTTTGACTGGGAAAACACTTGTTTATTATTTTTTTTGCGTTTTCCCTTCAATAATACTTTTTAGAGCTAAATAGGCATTTATTTGTGTAAAATAGTAAATTTCAATGTTTTAAAATTGGTTTTAATTTATAAACTTGTATTGAAATGATAAAACACAGAGAGGGATAGGTTCCCCATTCAGCGTAGGCACTCATTGAAGTTGCAGGGTAGGCTTTCCAATGCACGACATAGAGGTCAAAATTCGAAAGTTTTGCATACAGCAAATTTCGAAATTTAAAAATTATTAATATCCATGCCAAAAAAAACAGAAAAATCTCAGAAACTTTCATCTTTATGAAATATGATAAACTTACCCAGATTTACGATTTTATACTCCACATCTATTCCAGCAATCTATAATAAAACTTTTAAAACTTGTGATATCAAAATAAATAAAAATTAAGAAATTTTTAGAAAAAAATCTGACCTCTAGAGCAATCCTGACCCTCCAAGAACATGATGACCTCCAGTAAGAATAAAGCACCGGTTTTGCCCCTGTGTTTGTATCGGTAGACCTCATCTTCTGAAATCTGATTCAGGAAACTCTCATTTATTAATAAAATAAGATTTTTATTAAATCTAGACAAAGTGTTGTTAACCATTAATTATAAGAACTCTGTAAAATGTCGTCTTCAACTCGAATCTCCTGTCGGAGACAGCCAAACCAAATTTTCAGCCTGCAATTCCCTTTGTACTTCTCCCACGGAGCTTAAAATATTTTCGTTGTTGTGAAATCATTAAAGTTAAGCAAAATATTTTCATAAGAAGCATTAGTGAATTTCGTTAAATATTCAACTGTAATTTTTCAGAAGTTAAAAAAATTCTATGCCTGCCCCTCCCCCAATCTCACTTTACTGCCATCGGCTATGGAGTGTATACCGGTTAAACAACTTCTAGGAAAGGGTGCCCTCAAAACAAATACTAAAATATTTGAAATCTAAAAAAAGAAATTGAAGGTTTATAGATAAAAAAAATTATAGTGACGTCTTAATTAAAATATTTTTAATTATAATCAATATAAATACCTTTTAAAGTTGAAGAATTTTATTTTAATGCATTATGCAATCCATTTCATGATTTCGCTATTGATACAAAATATCAGAAATTCACGCTTGCACAATTAAAAATAATGAATTACTAAAATTTTATAATTCAACTCTCGAATTTATTACCAAACATTAAGGTTTATGATAACTTTATTTGAAAGAATTGAAGAATACTACGACGACATTTAGCCACTTTGTCACAACTGCGGAAGAAACAGGGTTATCCACAAAGGATGAGACTGTAGAGACGACTGTACAGAATTTATACTATCTGTTTCCTGATATTACTGATTGCCTGCAACTTTAAACGTGCGTCTTTATTTTCTTTATTTATCATTTAATATAGACAAATTTGATAAGAAAACTTAACTAAACCTTAAAATCATCAGATTTACCCTAAACAGGCTGTGGGGGGGGGGGGCAAAACTTAATATTTGTCAAAAACAGAAAAATTATTCGTTATTCCGACCCTTTAGGCATTTTTTCAACCCTTCCTAGCACCCCCACTATTAAAGTTAGCGATCTAATTTTTTTCAATGAGCTGGCCTTGAAAAGTTGGGTTTTGAACATGAATTTCAACCCTATCCTACATTTTTCTTAAAGGCCAAAAGAAAATATTGTCTTATGATAATAAAAGCGTAAAATAAGGCTCAAAAATGTTGGTAACCCTGTATAGAAAGAGTTTCGGCATTAAAGTCTCTTTCTTTGTGGGTAACCCTGTATGTAATATGTATACGCAAATTAAATTCCTTCTTTCCCTTATATTTCTAACAGTTGGATAATATGTTGTGTTAATTCATGTATTCAGACTTCAGAGTTTTGTAACCATGGAACATAAAGTTTAGGAAGGTTCCATCAAAGTCGTGTAACCATGGAAAATAAAGTTTAGGAAGGTTCCATCAGAGTCGTGTAACCATGGAAAATAAAGTTTAGGACGGCTCCATCAGGAGTCGTGTAACCATCGAAAATAAAGTTTAGGAAGGTTCAATCAGAGTAGTATAACCATGGAAAATAAAGTTTGGGAAGGTTCTTTCAGAGTCGTGTAACCATGGAAAATAAAGTTTAGGAACGTTCCATCAGAGTCGTGTAACCATGGAAAATAAAGTTTAAGAAGGTTCCTCCAGAGTCGTGTAAGTTAAGGAAGGTTCCTTCAGAGTCGTGTAACCATGGAAAATAAAGTTTAGGAAGGTTCTTTCAGAGTTGTGTAACCATGGAATATAAAGTTTAGGAAGGTTCCATCAGAGTTGTGTAACCATGGAAAATAAAATTTAGGAAGGTTTAACGTAGTTTAACATATCAAATCAACCAGAAGACAATTTCATCATTTTAATTTCACAGTTTAATGGGTCTTTCTGTAATTCCTGAATTTTAATTTTCTTGGTTCCGTCCTTTGAAATCTCGAAGTGGAGATATGTGAGAGATTCATAGATATGAATAACAATAGTCAGACGGTCAAACAGAGATTACAATTTTATATATATATATATATATATAGATAAGATGTATGAGAAATGTTTCGAATATCTAGCAAATTGGTTTTCTAATTTTACTATGCTTGTTTAAGCTTATCTAAAATATATCTTGTATTACACACTACATACACTACACGACTAGAATACAGATGTATATAAATACTAACTTATTATGTATTCTTATTTTAAACCCATTCAATGAAGTACGGGATGAGAGGGGGGGTAAAAAACATGTTTTACTGTTTTGACAAAATCTTATTTATTCATCTATTGAATAATTATTAACCCTATTCCGACTGATGTTTAGTTTACCCAAAATAGTCTTGTTGACCTTTAAAAAGGTCAGAAAATATACAAATAAAGAAATCAGGAAAAACACAAATATTCTATAACATTTATTTAAGAAAAATAAAATTGTTTTGAAATATTTGCACATGGCGAAGGTTAAAATTGGTTGATTTAGAAATTAACAAAAAGGAATTAATGATGGATATTAGATGGTGCTTCAAGGGAGTGTTGTAGAGCTTCATGTTGGTGGAGCAGATCCGGGAACTGGGACAACAGGGTTTATCAATGTATCAGAGGCAAGGCAACTCGAGATAGCGGAAACTTCGGACAAAGCTCGACAAGTTTCCTAAGTAAGCTTCTCAAGAAGTTAATAGGGAGATCAGAAGTATAAGCATGCCTGCTGTTAGTTCAGTATCTGCATCATCAGCACGAAGGAGTCAGGGGGGTGATGTAGAGCTTCATGTTGGTGGGGCAGATCTACAGGTGCGTTGCGCTGAGTATCTGCATCATCATCATGGAGGAGCCAGGGTAGAGATGGAGTTGTGAATATGAGTGTTCGTAACTGACTGCCGGTTGAAGCGGGGATCTAAGGTGAGCGGGGATTTGACACATGTGGTGTGCTTGCTTCCTGTGTACACAAACATTGAGAATTAACGTCGGCATTTGAGTCGGAAAAATCGTCTTCCTTATATTTCGAATTTATTTTAACAAGTCTGGGGGGGGGGGTCCATGGGATCCTCCCTCCTCTATTTCCATATTGTGATACAAATCAATAACATTTGATACACTTTTGCAAAGCCTTGGGCTCTACTTTGTTAATCTGCAAAAAATTAGCAAATTTGCAAAATTTCAAATATTTATTGTAGTTTCAAGTTACTAAGCAAAAAATGTGCAAAAACAAAAAAGTGCGCGAAATATGATAAATTATACTTATTTAAAAAGCCCTTACCACGGCAAATTCAAATATGCAAAAATATTTGCAAAGTTATGAAAAAAACTAAATTTTATTCAAGGAAACCTGAAAATGTGCTAATTCTCTTTTAAAAAAAGTATGCCAAATTTCTTCGCAAAAATTGTGCAATCTGCTCCTTTTGTTCCAGGCTTTCCAAAGAGCTATAAAAAGTTAAAAGCTAAAAAGGTGCGGCATTTAGAGCGGGTCGTCCCAATCATTTGGGATCGATATATAGCTTGTTGGAAAGCTAGGCTTTGTGTCCTTGTGTGGCATTTAGAGCACTAGATTAATAGCTTGTTGGATAGCTACGCTTGTGTCCATGTTTGGCATTTAGAGCCAGGTGGGTTGTGTGAGTCTTGGTTGATAATAGCATGTTGGATAACTACGCTTGTGTCCCTGTGTGGCATTTAGAGCCAGGTGGGTTGTGTGAGTCTTGGTTGATAATAGCATGTTGGATAACTACGCTTGTGTCCCTGTGTGGCATTTAGAGCCAGGTGGGTTGTGTGAGTTTTGGTTGATAATAGCTTGTTGGATTCCAACGCTTGTGTCCATGTTTGGCATTTAGAGCCAGGTGGGTTGTGTCCTGGTTGACTTTGATAGCGGACGGGTTGGACCTGCATAGATACGTTCCGAGAACTTGTTATGGAGTAGGTGTTTACTTTATGCCTGAGGATAAAGGGTGTATGTACATATAAGAGTTCCATTTTGTGCCTGAAGTGAGAGGCATTAGTTAGAAAGGTCAAAAAATTTGAATAGCCTGAGACCAATACTTTTGAGTTATCTCAAAAAAATGTCATGGGGGAGGGAGTCCAGGGACCCCAGACCCCCCACCCCCAGCCAGAATAAATAAGTTAAGTTAATATTTCAGCAAGTTTTATATTAAGCTAATTGTCTATTTCGCCATTTGAGCTAGTAGGCTAATGTTCTACACAAGCTCTAGTTAGCTCAGTCAGCTAGTGTAAACTAGTGTGAGCTTCTGCATCTTAACATTCTAATCAGATAATGATTTAATGACCTAGTTGAGCTAGTAGATGTAGTAAACTGATATAATTAAAACTAATGAGTTAAAATTATTTTTTTAAATTAGTGAGTGAGCTAATGCTCTCATAATCATGCTAAGCTTCTTCGTTAATAATCTGGTAGACTATTCAGCTAATACTCTAATGAACTATCAAGCTAATAATCCTCTACACTAGTGAGCTCATAATCCACAAAACTAGTAAGCTAATACTCTAATAAGCTAGTGAGCTCATACTCCACAAAATTAGTGAGCTAATACTCTAATAAGCTAGTGAGCTCATAATCCACAAAACTAGTGAGCTAATGTTCTAATCAGCTAGAGAGTTCATAATCCTCTAAACTAGTGAGCTAATGCTCTGATAAGCTAGTTAGTTAATAATCCTCTAAACTAGTGAGCTAATACTCAAATAAGCTAGTGAGCTCATAATCCTCTAAACTAGTGAGCTAATGCTCTAATAAGCTAGTGAGCTCATAATCCTGTAAACTGGTGAGCTAATACTCTAATACGCTAGTGAGCTCATAATCCTCTAAACAAGTGAGCTAATGCTCTAATAAGCTAGTGATATCATAATCCTCTAAACTAGTGAGCTAATGCTCTAATAAGCTAGTGAGCTAATAATCCTCTAAACTACTGAGCTAATGCTCTAATAAGCTAGTGAGTTCATAATCGTCTAAACTAGTGAGCTAATGCTCTAATAAGCTAGTGAGTTAATAATCCTCTAAACTACTGAGCTAATGCTCTAATAAGCTAGTGAGTTCATAATCGTCTAAACTAGTGAGCTAATGCTCTAATAAGCTAGTGAGTTAATAATCCTCTAAACTAGTGAGCTAATACTCTAATAAGCTAGTGAGCTCATAATCCACTGAACTAGTGAGCTAATGCTATAATAAGCTAGTGAGATCATAATCCTCTAAACTAGTGAGCTAATGCTCTAATTAGCTAGTGTGCTCATAATCCTCTAAACTAGTGAGCTAATGCTCTAATAAGCTAGTGAGCTCATAATCCACTAAACTAGTGAGCTAATGCTCTAATAAGCTAGTGAGCTCATAATCCACTAAGCTAGTGAGCTAATGCTCTAATAAGCTAGTAAACTAGATAAGATAAGATAAGATAAAGTTTATTGCTAAAATAAATGTATCTTAAAAAAATTTATTTAAACAAATTTTAACTACACCATTTATATATGTATTTATATCTTTGTGTGTGAATAAATCTTTATAATAATAATAATAATTAATCGTATTGCTCGTTTCTGTAAAATGTGAATTTGTTTCATTTCTGAACATTTGTTACATTTATCTAATGCTTAATAAGCCAGTAAACTATTAATCTTGTAAACTAGTGAGCTAATGCTCTAATAAGCTAGTGAGCTCATAATCCTGTAAACTGGTGAGCTAATGCTCTAATAAGCTTGTAAACTATTAATCTTGTAAACTAGTGAGCTAATGCTCTAATAAGCTAGTGAGCTCATAATCCTCTGAACTAGTGAGCTAATACTCTAATAAGCTAGTGAGCTCATAATCCTGTAAACTATAGAGCTAATGCTCTAATAAGCTAGTGAGATCATAATCCTCTAAACTAGTGGCTAATGCTTTGATAAGCTAGTAAGCTCATAATCCTCTAAACTAGTGAGCTAATGCTCTAATAAGCTAGTGAGATCATAACTCTCCAAAACTAGTGGCTAATGCTTTGATAAGCTAGTAAGCTCATCATCCTCTAAACTAGTGAGCTAATGCTCTAATAAGCTAGTAAGCTCATCATCCTCTAGACTAGTGAGCTCATAATCATCTAAACTGGTGAGCTAATACTCTAATCAGCTAGTGAGCTCATAATCCTCTAAACCGACGAGCTAATGCTCTAATAAGCTAGTGAGCTCATAATCCTCTAAAACTAGTGGCTAATGCTCTAATCAGCTAGTGAGCTCATAATCTTGTAAACTAGTGAGCTAATGATCTAATAAGCTAGTGAGTTAATAATCCTCTAAACTAGTAAGCTAATGCTATAATAAGCTAGTTAGCTCATAATCCACTAAACTAGTGAGCTACTGCTCTAATAAGCTAGTGAACTCATAATCCTCTAAACTAGTGAGCTAATGCTCTAATAAGCTAGTGAGCTCATAATCCTCTAAACTATTGAGCTAATGCTCTAATAAGCTAGTGAGCTCATCATCCTCTAAACAAACGAGCTAATGCTCTAATAAGCTAGTGAGCTCATCATCCTCTAAACAAACGAGCTAATGCTCTAATAAGCAAATGAGCTCATAATCCTTTAAACTAGTGAACTTATGCTCTAAAAAGCTAAGTGAGCTCATCATCCTCTAAACAAACGAGCTAATGCTCTAATAAGCTAGTGAGCTCATCATCCTCTAAACAAACGAGCTAATGCTCTAATAAGCAAATGAGCTCATAATCCTTTAAACTAGTGAACTTATGCTCTAAAAAGCTAATGTTCTGATAATCCTCTAAACTAGTGAGCTATAATGCTCTAATGCGATAGTGAGCTAATAATCTTGTAAACTAGTTAGCTAATGCTTTAATTAGCTTGTGAGCTAATAATTTGTAAACTAGTTGTCTGATACACTATTTAGCTAGTAAGCTAATAATATTATAGACTAGTGAGCTTATGCTTTTATAAGCTAGTAAGTTATTAATCTTGCTAACTTGTAAGCTAATGATTGAGCTAGTGAGCTAGTGAGCTATTAAGCCTCTAAACTAATGAGACAATGCTTAAAAGCTAGTGAACTATTAATCTTGTAAACTAGTTAGCTGATGCTCTAATAAGATAATTAAATAATAATCTTGTAAACTAGTTAGCTAATGTTTTAATAAGATAATTAAATAATAATCTTGTAAACTAGTTAGCTAATGCTCTAATAAGCTAATTACATTATAGTCTTGTAAACTAGTTAGCTAATGCTTAATAAGATAATTAAATAATAATCTTGTAAACTAGTTAGCTAATGTTTTAATAAGATAATTAAATAATAATCTTGTAAACTAGTTAGCTAATGCTCTAATAAGATAATTAAATAATAATCTTGTAAACTAGTTAGCTAATGCTCTAATAAGCTAATTACATTATAGTCTTGTAAACTAGTTAGCTAATGCTCTAATAAGATAATTAAATAATAATCTTGTAAACTAGTTAGCTAATGCTCTAATAAGCTTCTTGTAAACTAGTTAGCTAATGCTCTAATAAGCTAATTACATTATAGTCTTGTAAACTAGTTAGCTAATGCTCTAATAAGATAATAAAATAATAATCTTGTAAACTAGTTAGCTAATGTTTTAATAAGATAATTAAATAATAGTCTTGTATACTAGTTAGCTAATGCTCTAATAAGCTAATTACATTATAGTCTTGTAAACTAGTTAGCTAATGCTTTAATAAGCTAATTACATAATAATCCTGTAAACTAGTTAGCTAATGCTCTTATAAGCTAATTACATTATAATCTTGTAAACTAGTTAGCTAATGCTCTAATAAAATAATTACATTATAATCTTGTAAACTAGTGAGCTAATGCTCTAATAAGCTAGTAAACTATTAATCTTGTAAACTATTTAGCTAATGCTCTAATATGCCAGTAAACTATAATTAATCTTGTAAACTAGTGAACTAATGCTCCTGTAAGTAAGAAGCTAGTTATTTAGTGAGCAGAAGATTTGAAGAATGTGGCTAAAGTTTACACAAGTCGAATAAATATTAACATCTCAATGTTTAAAGATGAATTCCCACATCAGCCTTTAATCAACAGTCCTGACTCCTGGAATATACGTAATAGTTAGCGTCTGTTTTCAAAGTTTCCAGTGGAAAATTCGTTGAGCAAATTCTGGAAAAAAAAGTTTGCGGATTACGTAGGCAAATTTGCGCGTTTTTTTCTAATTTTGGTACAAAAATTTGCTTCAGCTGGAAACCCTATATCTTTTACAGTTTTTTTTAACATAGAGTCCCAACAAAAAATGAAGAATTTAGTGCGCTAACAACATTCTTTTCTGTTTCATTTTTTATAATTATCTCCGACCAATATTTATTCAAATATTTTTATGTTTAAATCTACAATTTTTAACTCCCCCCCCCACAACCAAATTTCTTTAAAATTCTAAATTAGTCTTTAATGTCTTCCATGTTGTGAATGCTGTAATGATTGAATCAAAATTTCACAAACGTTGAAAACATTTTTCATCTAAATGAAGATAAAAGCAGCCCCCCCTCTACACCTCCCTCCTCCCATCCTATATACCCTGATATTAGTTTATCCACGTTGGACGGACATATCCTTGATGTTTAGTAATTTCCCTCAAAATTTCCCAAAATATAAAGAATATTTCAAAACACACCAGTCTATAAAAATACCATGAATTCATACATATTTATTTTCTAAAACGTTTCAGAAATTGACTTTTGTCAACAATTATTCAAATTATCTAATCCCTATATCTTTTCTATCTGATGGTGTAAACCTTATTAATATTAGAACTTAAAAATATTTGATGACACAAAATTAAACAGAGTTCCGAATTAAAAATGTTAGGCAAATTAGGGGAAAGATTTTCTAATCCTAAGATATGATTGGACATTAGAGACAAACAGATTCAGATTTAGCCTGTGCTAAAAACTTCATTTTCAGTGTATTATCTGTCTACAGCTGTCCGTCAAATTTTATAAGCTGCATCTCTCACTCTGCGCGCATATACTTCTATATTTTTATCATCATTTTTCTGAAGATTTGAAGATGGTCGGGGACAAAATAATTTCAAAGTATATACAAACAATAAAAAGAAACCGAGGGGAAACATTATCCTAAAAGCAAAAGAACAGAAGAAATGTTTTTTGAGAGAGTAAACCAACAAATTTAGAAAAGTATAGAATTTTGTTTTAAAATGTTTTTTTTTTAATTTAGCAGAAGGACTCGGAACTTACTTTTCCCAACAAGACAAAGAATTGGAATTTTACTTCCCGTATTATTCCTCAATCCAGGAGCAGGGTTTGAGTTCTCTCCGTGATGTTGGGGTTGAGTAGAGCGGGAATTTATCTCCTCAGTATCCGAGCATCCGCTCAATCCGACCAATCTATTCTCCGTATACCTAGTATATACTGGAGAACTAGAGTTTATTATATGCTCTTTATACCCGGAACATAAAAAAACTTTTATTTTGGTTTTAAGTTTATGAAGTAAAACTTAAGATGTGACGTGAATAATGATTACTATGACAAAATGAAAATGAACAAAATTTCAACGATGAAAATAAAATTAATATGTTAAGTATTATTTTCATAATAAAATAGTAGGGGTGGGGGGGGGGGGGAAATTGCGTCTTTTTTTAGAGTGACTTTTAAACTAATTTTAAATCCTTCCAATATTTTTTGCAGTTTTCTTCTCTTATTGTCATTAAATAGCACAACAGACATCTAAAGATATTTATATAAATTAAAAATTTAGTAAACGATGTTTAAAAGCTTGTGTTATCTTTGAACGATAAATCTTGTAAACAATGTTGTTTTGTTAGACTCGAGATATATAACTGGTTTATATAGTCTGGGATTTATTCCAAGATATATGTTCAGATCTGTTTATTTTTATATGTTTATTTCAAAGATAGATTTACACATAAATATCTATATTTATGATTTCTCATCAAGCTTTCTTTGCATCATTTTACGTTGATTTTAAAATTTGGTTGCTTTTTATTTTGTAATTGAACTATTTTATTTTATTCCAGTAAAATGATTAAAATCTTTTATTTTAAGTTTATGAATTTGTTTATACTAAATTCTCTAAAGGAATCAGGAACTATCTAGAAATAAATTGAGCCTGTACCTCAAACTCAAACTTTCTAATTTCGTTAATCCTTTACAGGCTGGGGGGTCTGTATCTATGTATATCCAGGAGGGGGCGTCCCACACACCCCCCCCCCCCATTAGAAAAGGCCTTAGAGAATAGGTATAGGGTTGAAATACTAATCATAGCACAATTTTTAATGGCCAGCTCATTGAACAAAAAATTAGACCGATAACTTTTATAGTTTGGGTGCTAGAGACTAAAGAGGGTTTACAAAAAGGCCAAAAAAGGTCAATCATCTTTTTAAAATTTTTGTTTTAGTTTTAAACAAATATCAAAGTGTGACGCATGTTTCTATATCAATTTTTCATAAATATAGTTTTTATATCTGTAGCTTTAGTCACAAAAAAGTTAAGGGCTATTTTAGATTTTTTTTTAACACAGGTCACAGACCAGACTTTTTACTGCCCTGTACCCTACCCTATGCATTAAAAAAAAATTTTTTAAAACTCCTTTAAATTTCTTTTTATTAAAAGTCAAAAAATTTCACAGTGATATGATAGTGTAAAAAATGAGAGTACTAGGACAAAAATACTAGAAGGGGGGGGGGGTTTAGCCTGTTTCGGGTTAAACTTAGAATATTTGATCTTACATAATTCAGTTTTTGAAATATCTAAGGTCTACAATTCATTGGTTTGCAAAGATATGGGGAGTTTGTAGAAAAGACTCAATTTTTAAAAAAATCTAATTTTGTGGCAAAGTCTCAATTTCTTTCTAGATATTTCATTGTATTCGTGATAATTCTCATAACAGTGAGTTGAAATTGTTTAGTATTTGTTGCAATCTTTTAATAAATGATGTTACAATTAGTATTTTATGCTGTTAGGGTGCCAGTATTCACGTTTGTTACCTACAATCATAGAGAATAGAATATATAGAGAGGAATTAAAAGAATCTCTCGGTATGAATTTTTCAGTCCCTTTCAGCCTGAAAGGGAGTTCAAAGTGTACAAATCATGTAAATGTTCACAAATTATATGCAGTAGAGTACATTAATACAGTATGTTCCCTAGACTTTCCATTTCAATTTCGAAATTTTTAAACTGTTAAATAAACTTTATAATGAATTAGGTGAATAAAAACATCATTTGATTTATAGTTATAACGGAAAATCATCGTTTGTAAAGTGGAAGGCATAGAGTCTATGTGAAATGATCATTGGTCAATTATGAAACCAGCCTATTTCATAATTTGGTTTTCTTTTAACAATAATCTTAGATTTTCTATAAAATGATATTCCAGGGCCCAACAGGTTAAATAGCATAAATATGTGAAGTACACCTGCAGTATGGAAACAGTACAACAAAATGGCCGTTTTACACTTTTTTCTAGTAAATTCTTCTCTATATATTCTATTCTCTATGCCTACAATAGCCGACCAAATCGAGACCAGGGAGTAAGGAATAAAAGGGAGATATAACTGACGCGGTTCGCCCTACCATATGATTATACATGCTTTGCAGACGGTACTCCATTTGAATAAGAATGTACAATTACCGCGTATACAATAACCTGTTCTGAATATTTCTTATACAAATGAAATACCGTCTGCAAAGCATGTATATTGTATAATCATAATTGAGGGCGAACCGCGTCAGTTGTATCTCACTTTTATTCCTTACTCCCAAATCGAGACACTATCAGACATGTAAATATCATGGAGTCTTTTTCTACCGAGCGTTAGACGATTTTTTAAATTCTACGCGCAAGGAGGGGGTCCTTGCCTAATTCCACCAAACAAAAACATTTAGAGGGATGAAATAATTTTGAAAAACATGTATTATATAATAATAGCGAAATATTTCTGAGATTGGGCATTTAAGCACAGAATACTGTTTTTTTTGAATTTTTAGAATGCCACGGGCAACGCAAGGTGCTTAACAGAGCTAGCATATATAAAATTATTGTTATGGTTTTTATTCCTGAGCAAGAATGAAGGTATAACCAATATATGCAGATGTTTTAGGTTTGATTTACGTCCAAACTTTTGCCAAGTTTTGAATAATTTGATGCTGAATCCGCTAGATATTTGTTATCCAGTCCATTTAATACTTTCTGTGAAGGAAATGTATGCGTAAATGTAGGTGGCCCTTTAAACAATTGTTTTTTTTAAATTCTTAATCCTAATCTCTAAAATATCTGATAATTAAGATTTTTATTATTTTTATATCAGAAAATCAAAAACTGGAATTAAGACTTATCTAGAAAACGATTCTTATAGAGAAATAATAAGATTAATGATCTTATTTTCAATTCCAATCCAACCCCTGCAGGGATGGACAATATAACTTTTTTTTAAATGTACTTTTGAAAGGTTACAGAAAAATCTCGGAAGTTTTACAAATGTTTATTACATTTTTACTCTCAGCCAGATTTTCCAGATTCTAAAAGTAAAGCATAAGAGCTTTCCAACGATGTATCATTTGTCATATTTGGACATCAACCATGGGATTTGGAGGGGGGGGGGGGGCAGCGAATCCTGGTTTTCAAGTACCCCAGCAGGGATAGGGTTAATTCTTCGAATCTAAAGAGCTAAATGCATGTATTTTATAGGTTAATAATTTAGATGTATAGGGTTACAAAACAACTATAATCGAGTTATTGAATCAAAATCAAATGGTAAGGCGTTGTAACACTTTGAAGTCGGTCCAGTCTTAAACAATCATGGAATTTTCATTGCAATCATGTATCTATGTGATTGGGTTTGCAAGGCTGGAAAACATTTTCCTCTGATATGAACCCCAAACAAGGAACTGTAATTTTATCCGACACTCAGAATATAAATTTTGATAAAATTGGTCTAAAACTGTTAAACTGTTCAACCTTTGTTACATGGATAATGTAAATGATGGTAATAGAGTAGACCTTTGTGGAAGAGGGGGGGGGGGCTAAGAAAAGGGGAGAAATGTTTATATTGATATTACAGATTACGTGATCTAATAGAATTTCTAATTTAGCATATCAAAGGTCTACGAAATTAGGTTGCAAAGATTTTAATAATCTCAATAAATTTGCAACATGATGGTTAAAATTTGAAACTTAGATATAGGGATCTATCTGCCATATATATTATATCTGGTATCTATCTGACATATATCTGGTCTCTATCTGCCATATATCTAGTATCTATCTGCCATATAGCTGGTATTTATCTGCCATATATCTGGTATATATCTGCCATATATCTGGTATTTATCTGCCATATATCTGGGCTCTATCTGCCATATATCTGGTATATATCTGCCATATATCTGGTATCTATCTGCCATATATCTGGTATCTATCTGCCATATATCTGGTATCTATCTGCCATATATCTGGTATCTATCTAACATATATCAGTATCTCTGGTCTCTATCTGCCATATATCTGGTATCTATCTGCCATATATCTGGTATCTATCTGCCATATATCTGGTATCTATCTGCCATATATGTGGTATCTATCTGCCATATATCTGGGCTCTATCTGCCATATATCTGGTATCTATCTGCCATATATCTGGTATCTATCTGACATATATCTGGTATCTATCTGCCATATATATGGTCTCTATCTGCCATATATCTGGTATCTATCTAACATATATCAGTATCTATCTGCCATATATCTGGTCTCTATCTGCCATATATATGGTCTCTATCTGCCATATATCTGGTATCTATCTGCCATATATCTGGTATCTATCTAACATATATCAGTATCTATCTGCCATATATCTGGTATCTATCTGCCATATATTTGGTATCTATCTGCCATATATCTGGTATCTATCTGCCATATATTTGGTATCTATCTGCCATATATCTGGTATCTATCTGCCATATATGTGGTATCTATCTGCCATATATCTGGGCTCTATCTGCCATATATCTGGTATCTATCTGCCATATATCTGGAAATATATTTTCAATAAAATGTGAAACTAACATCTACTTTTTTTCTCTACAGGGTTTGGTCCATCACCATCGCCGAATTTTGAATATATCTGATATCTAATTTACATATATCTGGTTACTATCCAAGATATATCTGGTATCTATCTGACATATATCTGTCATAGTCCTGAAAGAGTTTAGAGGTTCGCCAAAAATCTCTCCTTATTCTGTAATCTTCCTTCAGCTTCATTTCCCACAGAACCTTCTTCGTTAAACTGTATACTCCACAGGGAACCTGGATAGTATATATTAATGATATATGTATGCTAATATAAAGGTGGTTTAGGCTCTTTGCCTCCTTTTTTTCTTATTGCCTATTTTAAATGTTACATTTTTCGTACATCATAAAACAAGAAATTGCGCGAATTATTATTTAATATTGATACACTTCAAATAAAAATTTAAATCCAGATTTTTTCGTTTTCATCTGAATTCCTCAGTGTTGTTTAGTTGATTCGATATTTCAATTAATATTTAAAAGAAGTAGTATGTTTGTATATTTTGAACATTGTAAAACCTATCTATATAATAAAGCTCTTCATTCATATAAAATTATATGCTAGTTATATCTGGCCAAAGGGCTGGACCGAATTGGCTGACATTTATGATTATGATAAACCCGTTGGTATTCTAGGGATAACATGGGCTAAAAATAATTCTAAATTTTTTCCTTCTTCATAATTGGAAATTTTCAAAGTGTATTTAAAATTCCACGGGAAACGCCAAGCACGTTAGCTACAGGGTTTCTCACGAAACATGACAGTTGGTAAATAGTATTGAATGTCTTCTTCCACATACTGTATGAGATATTATAAAGGCTTTTTGCAGTTTTATTTTGATAAAAAATCTTTTACTCAATTATATTTTATTTTTAAATCAATTTTACTTTTATATGACAGCAATGTCTCAACTCTCATGTTTTGTGGGACACCCTGTAGTGAGAAATAAAACTTATCCATGAAATCTTGTAAAAAATGAGAACAAAGAGATCTATGAAAACTTAACTTCAAAGAGTCCTTGTAAAAATGTTAAATATAAAGGATTTTACATTTAACTGTTTATTGGACTTTTATCAAGATCCTAACTCGTCATTTAAAGGGACCCTATAAATTTTCTTCTTATAAATAATGCGGGAAATGTCGTCGTTTTCTAGCTTTAAAAGGGATTAATTCTAACAATTTTCTCCATTTTATTTTTCATGAGAAACACATTTTAAAAATCTATTTTCGAAGAAAAATATTGGGATATTTTATTCAATCTTATTCAGGCAAAGTATTCATGTGTACAAATGTGATTCAAACATACCTGGTCTCGTGAAATTACGTTGACACTCCCTTTAATTCCTGGTGTTTGATAAGAGCTCTTCTAATCAGACCTGATTTATTATATTTTCAGGAAACCCAGCAGAGAGAGAGAGAGAACTGTCATTACCAGTCCAATTAGGATGGTTTAGGATGCTCCGTCCTTAGAGTTGGCAGGACCCCGGAGAATGAGGGAACCAGATAAAATGAAATTGTTAAGTTCGGAAGGAGATAAAACTGAACCGTCCCCCCAGGTTGCGGAGAAAAAGGAAGATAATGAACTAGTCCCACCGGAGAATAAATCCTTCCTGCAGAGGTTCAAATGTGATTTAAAAGACTGTATATCAAGGATAAACTCTAACCTGGATGCACTGTACAGCGTATTGAAGGGATATGAGATATTTCTGTTAACCCTACTGTGTCTGTGTTGCACTCTTCTATGTGTGTTTGTAACGAGCAGGCATCTAAATCTAGAGGAGAAGGTTCGAAACTTGCAGCAGGAGCTCTCCAGTATAGAGTATAGACTACTGGACAGAACTATTCTCTCAGATACCTGGGAGGGGGAGGAGGAGGAGAAAGAAACTTCTTGGGATAAATCTATTCTTGAAGCAAACTATTACATTCAAGTGAACCGTGGGCCCGAGTCCAGAAATAAGCGAGAAATAAATTTGAGAATAAATTCTGAGAAAGACTCGAGAAAAAAAAGAGAAGCGGACTATTTGTCAGAACATGGTTGTGCTTGTGTTGGACTACCAGGACTACCTGGACCTCCTGGACCTCCTGGAGCAGGGCAGGATGGTATCAAGGGAGAGAAAGGAGATCCTGGATCCTACCATAGTAGATCATCTAGACCCTGGTATCCGGAGAGAATACCGCGTAGAACATCTTTAACCAGACTTGAAGGAGGTTTCCAATATGCTGAGGTCATTGCAATGAAGGGTGATCCTGGACCCCCGGGACCTCCAGGAGGTCAGGGACCACCTGGACCAGTAGGACCAGTAGGTCAGACAGGAGTAGGAGAACCAGGGGTACCTGGACAGGTTGGACCCATGGGTTTACCTGGACCGAAAGGTTTACGCGGATATCCAGGTCTAGATGGAGCACCGGGACAGAAAGGAGAATGTATCATTCCAATGCAGATGGATAGCGCCAGGTAAACTATTCCTATGCAGATGAATGGTGCCAGGTAAACTATTCCTATGCAGATGGATAGCGCCAGGTAAACTATTCCTATGCAGATGGATAGCGCCAGGTAAACTATTCCTATGCAGATGAATAGCGACAGATAAACTATTCCTATGCAGATGAATAGCGTCAGGTAAACTCTTCCTATGCAGATGGATAGCGCCAGGTAAACTATTCCTATGCAGATGAATGGCGCCAGGTAAACTATTTCTATGCAGATGGATAGCGCCAGGTAAACTATTCCTATGCAGATGAATAGCGCCAGATAAACTATTCCAATGCAGATGAATAGCGTCAGGTAAACTATCCCTATGTAGATGAATAGCGCCAGCTAAACTATTTCTATGGAGACACAGCTCCGGTTAAATTCTTTTTTATTAACGTTTGATCAGTGTTTACCATTTGTTAAATTCTGTTTTATTTGGTTTGATTGAGAAAGGTAAATTTTAATGTGTGGGATTTAACCTTTTAATGATAAAATTTAATCTAGCGTCTTTAAAAGTTTGTAAAAATATAGGACACAACACAAATAAAACTGTATCATTATTACCATTTTTCGGTTTAAAGATATCAAATAAACACTTCATTCAAAGTTTAAACCAATATCGAAGATTAGCTTCGTTGTTCTTTTGAGACTCCCCTTACCACCCCTCCTCCCGCCCCTCCCATTATTCTATAAGCTGTTTTTTCTCTACATCGCTAGAACTTCCTCACTTTTCAACTTCATTTAGCCGTTTCTTTTAAACATGGGGTACATGTATCTCAACTCTAAGAGCAATATCTTAAATGGGTGGTGACCCCCCCCCCCCTATCCATTTTAGACATAAAAAGCTCAATCTATAATAGAAGTTACAAAAAAAAACAGTAGTATTTTTTGTCGTTTTCGTTTCTTCTGATAATTGAAAAAGTCAATAAGGATATTTAATTTTTAAAATTGTTATTACTTTTATGTTCAGAAATCAATAATTTTGAATTTAATACTGTTAATAGCACCCTCAGTTGGTTCCCTATCCTGTAGGGGTCTAGATAAAGTCATAGGCCATATTGACATCATGCATCCGTTTTGAAAAAGCTCAAAGCAATTTTTAGCAATAAATCAAAAAGAAATTACAAAATAATTAACGATGTTTTATGATAAAAGAAAGAGAGAATATGGCGATAATTCCACCTTATTCTAATTACTATTATGTGACGTTTATTAAAAAGAATTTGATTTGGCCCGATTTATTTTTCCAACAAGTTTAATTTAACAATAGTTGAACTACATGTATATTTTTAGAAGTTTCACATTTGATGCAGTTCAGGGCCCTCCAGGGCCCCCTGGTAAACCAGGAGAGAAAGGAGATAAAGGAGATCTAGGCCCCATTTCGAGATTTGATCCCAGCATGAATATTCACACGTTGCCAGGTATCCACAACTAAAAACTTTAGAATGGCATACATTTTACCCCGATTGCGTTAATCTGAATATCCAATGTGGACACTTTTAGTTCCCTTCTTAATCCGTTCTTTCTTTTTCTCCTTCTGTCAGTTTCCTACCAATGAGATTTCACACATTAAATGGCGCCCAAAATTTCAAATTTCCCGGCTTCTCTGATTGGCTTTTCTAATTTTTTCAATATTTATATTTGTATTGAAATGAGGATGGAGAAAATCTATGTCAACCAATTAGTTGTAATAACAATTATGCCACATGGACTAAACTTGATATCCAAGTCTTTTGATTTAAAAGATATAGAATTTTATTCTGGGGATAAACGTGAAATCCACCAAACAAACATTAAAATAATGATTTAAAGGAAGAAATTGTGTGTCCGACGAATTATATTGCAGAGACACCTAGCGGCCAAAAAGTATATTGTATAATGTATATGAAACTAAAAAAAAAATTATTAAATATTATCTATTTACGAACGCATTAAATTTAATTCAATAATTATAGGCTGTAGTATCTGAATGATTAATTTAAATTTTAATGGAACTATTTCCCATCTGAGTGGAATATTGCAACTTTGTGAATTTATATGGAAGCTACATTCTTCAGTATGAGCTTTGCAGTTAACCATTTAAAAGTAAGATTTATAGTTACGATCACTATCGAATTTGATTGGACATAAAACTATACCTCCTTTAATTTTTCGCGAACAATCCCTTTTATAATGACAATTTTTTTCTAATAGGTCCCCCAGGGCCCAAAGGTGATGAAGGAGCTGAGGGAAAAGAAGGGAAACGAGGACCAAGGGGGAAACGAGGAAAGTCGGGGAAAGTGGCGAATAGAGGAGCTCCAGGTATAAACAGTGTTAGACCAATATATCAACACAATGAAGACGACTTTGGATTTTAATTTTGATTTATATTAAGCTGATATTGATTTACATAAGCATAGAAATCAAGTGAAGCTGTCAATTAAAAAAAAAATATTCTTTGATTAATTGAAAACTTGTAATTCGAAATTTTTTTTTTTTAAATCAAAACTTAAATATAGCTTGCCTGCATTGGAAAATATTCTACAGGAAGACGGGGGGGGATGTTTTATAGAGTATAAGAGATATAAGAGATTGAGGATATAATGGATACAAGAGATAAGATATATGATGCAAATGAGGAAGATAGGATTTAAGAAAAAAAAGATATGTCATACCGCTTAAGATATAAAAGATATGCAAGAAGTAGAAGATTTGATGCAAGATATAGAAGATATGATGAAAGAGATAGAAGATATGATGAAAGAGATAGAAGATATGATGAAAGAGATAGAAGATATGATGAAAGAGAAAACGAATTTGGTCCAAGAAACATTGACGATATTATTGATGGAATATGAAAAAAATAGATATAAGAACCATTAGTTTGGAAAGTAATTTTATGTGAAAATCTCCCTTCATAAATGTTTACAGAAAGTATTTAATGGCAAAGAAATATAAAATTCAAGTTATTAGATATCCTTGCATTGTACACTTGTATTCCTCAGGTAAATCCTACTTTGATCCTTTTCTTGTTATTAATCCTTTTATCCGACCCGAAACCTTCCTTGTGAGTGGTGTTGGAGATAGAACTGAATACCAAACAGATCAATATTTTATCTTAGCAAAAACAAATTTTAAGAATTTTTTCAAGTTCTGAAATTTTTGAGAGATATTTAGAGGGTTCATGTATTGTTGGAGATATATTATTGTTGGATTCTTTCTCAGAGAGTTACTATTTATAGGGTGTTCATGAGAGAGTGGGTTATCTCTTTAAGAGATAATATTTATAGGATTTAGAGTATTGTTTCTCAGAGAGTTACTATTTATAGGGTGTTCATATGAGTGTTCTTTCTTAGAGAATTATTTTTTTAAGGGTTGTTTCTTAGAGAGTTATTATTTTGATTGTTGTTTCACAGAGAGTTATTAGTGAGACAGTCGTTTAAAAGAGATTTATCATTGTTGTATGTAAGAGAGTTATTATTTAGAGGATTGTTTATAAGAGAGTTAAAATTTAGAGGGTTGTTTTTAAGAGGATGATTATTTAGAGGGATGTTTATAAGAGAGTTTTTATTTAAAAGGTTGATCCTTAGAGAGTTATTATTTAGATTGTTGTTTTTCAGAGAGTTACTACTTAGGGGGTTGTTTATTAGAGAGTTATTATTTAAAGGGTTGCTTACAAAAGAGTTATTATTCAGAGGGTTGCTTTTAAGAGAGTTATTATTCAGAGGGTTATTTATTAGAGAGTTACTACATAGAGAGTTGTTTTAGAGAATTATTATTTAGAGGGATGTTTATAAGAGAGTTTTTATTTAGAGGGTTGATTCTTAGTGAGTTATTAATTAGAGGGCTGTCTATAAGAGATTTATTAGTTAGAGGGTTGCTTCTTAGAAAGTTATTATTTAGAGGATTGTAACTAAGAAAGTACTATTTAGAGGGTTGGTTCTGAGAGAATTATTATTTAGAGCGTTGTTTCTAAGAGAGTCGTTTTTGAGACTGTTGTTTAAAGAGAGAGATTTTATTTAGAGGGTTGTTTAAAGAGAGTAGTATATAGAGGTTTATTTCTTAGAAAGTTATTATTTAGAGCGTTGTTTCTCAGAGAGTAATTATTTGGTGGAAGGGAGGGAGGGTTGTTTTTCTTAATCAAAGAAGGATTAGCTGAAAGCTGATCAAGTTTTCTTTTTTTATTCCAGAATCTTTCATAATTTCTACTATATTATAGACGCAGGGCTCCTCTGATATCATTTTTAAGTATAATTCCTACACTTTTTAAAAGAATTGAGTCATTGCCATTAACTCACATTTTCTAATCTCTTTAGCTTTGCAACCTGAGGTTTGAAAAGCCTTTGTTATTTTAAACTTAAAGTATTTAATCTTTACGGAATTCATAATTTGAAATACATAAGTTTTACAATGACATTCGGTTGCAAAGATATAGAGATATGACAATAAGAGTTTCTAGCAAAGACTCAATTTCTTTCAGAAAAAAATTGATAACAAAGAATCAAGGTATCAGCCACTTAATGTAAGTTTAAATTTGGAAAAATGTAATCAGAAAAAAATAAACATCTTGTTTTTCTTATTTGAAATGTTATAAACATATTTAGGATTGGCTGGAATGAAAGGAGAGCAAGGTTTGCCTGGATCTACTGGGATGAAAGGAGAGAAAGGAGGCCAAGGAGTTCATGGACTAAACGGTGCACCAGGAACCAGGGGTCCGGTAGGCTCACAGGGACCTAAAGGTGATCTAGGACCTCAGGGTCCTCCTGGGCTTCCAGGAGTTCTGGGGAACAAAGGGGATAAGGGAGAATATGGTACTATGGGACCACCGGGACTAATGGGACCTCCAGGACTGCCAGGGCCTCCAGGGTATCCTGGTATAAAGGGAGAGGACGGTACTCCAGGTTTAGCTCCGGTAGTAAAGAAGAAACGAAGGAGAAACCAGGATATGTACGGAGCACTAAGTGATGCTGAATACCCGTCTGTGGTAATGGGACCTCCTGGACTCCCGGGCAGGGACGGTATTATGGGACAGCCAGGACAAAAAGGGGACACAGGGGCAGATGGGGACAAGGGGGATCCAGGGGAAAAGGGACAGCGTGGAGATCCAGGAACCATGGGACTCCCTGGTCCATCAGGGTTAAAGGGACAGCAAGGTGAACTAGGACCAGCAGGGTTACCTGGACAAAGTGGAAACAAAGGAGACCGGGGGGAGAAAGGGGAGAGAGGAGAGGTTGGGATGGTTGGAATCCCAGGGTTAAAAGGACAAAAGGGAGATCTAGGACCAGAAGGACGGAGAGGAAAACGAGGAGAACCAGGATTAACAGGACGGGACGGAACTCCAGGGATGGATGCTCCATGTCCTACGGGAGCAGACGGATTACCTGAACCCGGATGTGGTTGGAGAAAAACGTCCCCCGCCGCTTTAACTCTGAATTAAGTTCACAAATCTTATTTAAAACAATTATTACGCTTTGTGCATCTAGCTATGTTGGATTTCATCCACTTCAAATTCATGAAGATATTAACATACATAGATAGATAGATAGACAGGGCTCAGAAATACTTGGATAGAAGTGAATGTTGACAGAAGATATTGGTCCTGAGATATGAACCAGGAGAAGGAGGAGGAAGAACCAGGATTGCCAAATTCTCGGAGCCCGAAGGATCAAATCTCTGCGGAGTTTGTTATGTCAGAAGTTTACTATTTGTAAAGATGAATTAAAAGAAAGAGCAAGAAAATATATAGCTTTAGATGCTCTCTCTCTTTAGTTTTGGTTAGATTTGCCTAGTTCAGCATTTTTGGTCCTTTGAGAGGGGATATACAGGATATACAGCTTAGCTTTAATACACAAATATATATTATCCTACAGGGTGTCCCAAAAAACATGAGAACTAAAAGACGACTTCAAAATCGTCTTCGATTTCCGCTGGTTGACTAATGACAAATAATGTGTCAAAATTAAGACTGAACATTATCTGAGCTTTTAATAATGTGGTCCGCCTTCTTTGTATCTTTAAAATTGACGGAAATATTGAACATTTGGAAGATTTCGTTGTTTAAAACATTGTTTTAACTGGAATAATACAAACATATCTTTACGTCAAAATGCCACGCGAAACAAAGACGACATAGTAATAGTCACTTGATTCCCATGTTTATTGGGTAACCTTGTACAGAGTGGAGAGAGAGAGAGAGAACAAGAGCGAGGGAAAATTTCTAAGATGTCGGATATTTGTGAAGAATAAACAGACGGGGGGATGTTTGTGGAGTAAACCAGAGTAGGAAGGAAATTATGTGTGTACACAAGGATTTAGTTAGAGGACAGGGTGCTGGGGATTGTAATACATGGGTCGTTAGAAAAAAGTGGAATAGTTATGGAACATCTTCTATGTGATAAATCTGTTCGCTCACATACACATATATATATATATACTTGTATATATAAATTTATATGTTAGCTATTGCCAATAGCTGGCCGAACGGTTGAACCAAATTGTTTTGACATTATTCATGCAACGCCGGGTACTTGAGCTAGTTAGGCTTGTAAAGGGTGTAGAGTAGAACACAGTGGATATTATGTTTGTTAAAGAAGAAGATAGAAATCTGAATGTTTACGGAAAACAGAAACCAAGAAACATATAAAAAAGGCATTTGTGCAGTTTACAGTGTACACTGATCTATTTCACCTAATAATTGTATTTTCCTGCTCTCGTGGATTTCACGGTTCTGTCAATATTCCAGAAAGTAAGTAAAAAGTAATCATTTAATTATGAAGTATAACAAAAACATACGAATTTAAGTGTTTAAGGAGAAAATATTTAAAAACCTCCTAAAAAAGAGGTTGTTAGAATTCTAAAAAATATATAAACAAATAGAAGAAAAGGAAAAGGAAAGGAAAGGAAAAGAAAAGTTACATATTTATTGTTTACATTATATTTAATATAAAGTAGTGGTGGATTGTTAGTAATTTTCGACAAAATAAAAATAAAAATGATAGATTTATTTGTAATGTTTAAAAACTAAGATAGGTTTTATGGGTTGTGAAAAATGTATAGGTTAAAAATGGGCATTTGTAAGCATCTTTTTAATCCGTGCTGATTTTTGACATCCTTTATGTTTGATTTTATCTTTTACTCTTTTTACTCTTTTTAGTCTTTTTTTTTGTAAAATTGTCTTTGCTTTCTTCTATTCTTTTGCAAACATAGAGTTAGAATTTATACCTTTGTTTTGCTGAAATAATCTTCAACTAAATTCTGTTTAAAATTCGAAAGCTGTGACTTTCGATCACAATTTGTCCTATTAAACATAATTTTTTAGCCTTTTTCTTAAATTCTTTTTAAATAAAAAGTATTAATCAAACAAATCCTTAAGTTAAAAGATAAACCACAATACGTATGATTTCAAACAGAAGAAACCGAAGCCCTCTAACTCTGGTTAGTCCGGGGTGTGCTACTATATGCTTTATAACAACGTCAAAAAGTATACACATCATAACAGATTTAATAAATTCCGTCTTACTTTTCCGGAATATCACGAGATTATTCTGAGTCCAGAGCTGGAAACTTTTGAATGGTGGATATCAGGAGTAATGCTTGATCCACTCTTTTTCTTAATCCCAAGACTAAATAATGCTTGTTCTTCTCTTGTTATTAATCTCCAGCTTAATTAACCAATCGGGATTAAGGATATCCCATTCTAAAGTTTTATCTACAATGCTTTTAAAAAGCTACTCAGGTTAAAATTTAAACCATGTAAAACAAGAAATCTATAAAAATAAAATGAATAAAATTTTCCAAACGATAAATTATGATATATTTACTCTGCTTCAAACATTTAATATATAAACCATTTATTATATTTTGTTCAAAGAAAAATCCTAAAACAAGAAAGAACTTTCAGTTCATGATTTGTAACAAGTATATTAAAGACCGATTTAAAATGAAAGTGTAATTTCGGTTGGCCCTTCATGACAGTGCCTGATTCATAACTTTACCCGGTTTGTTTCATCCAATATAATTCAGATGTCAAAGTTTACAATTTTGAGAATTGATTATTTCAATTGTGGTTTCTCTACAAAAGTGTCTTATACATTTCTACTGCAGGACAAAAATAAAGGAATTATCAGAATTAAAAATATTTTAACCCAGTGACAATATCTCTCACATTAGTGATCAGATAAATGTTTCTAAGGTACCGTTGTGAATCGGGCATTGTTATCTTTGTATCTATCTATGCTAAAATTGTAAATATGTATAGAAATATTGTTTTCACATAATATAAATATACATGTAATATAAATAAAAATATTGAAGAATTATCCATTTGATGAATACTCAATTAATTACAGTTTAAGATAATGATTTAAGAACCAATAAAAGCTGAATAGATCATATACTAGATAATTCCATAAACATGAAAAGTACAGTAACACTCTGGAAAAGGAATACGACTTTAGACTTACGTATTACTTAAAATAGTCTAATGACCATGAAACATAGCAATTGTGCAATGTAAACAGACAAGGTTCACTTTATTAGGGAATTACAAAGTTGCTAGTAAAACTATTTGCTTTTTAACAACATCAAATACGCTTAATTATTCCACACTTTCCTGGTTCTCACTGTATTATCAAAATGAATAGTAAGATCAGCTAGGACTACACACATACGAGAAATACAATGGAAACCCTAAATTTGGGATATAAAGACGACTGCTGTAATGGTTCTATAACAGTTATATGAACATGAAACACGCAATTGTACAGTGCACAGACCCATAAATGTTGATCTTCAAGCTACTGCAGTTTAAACTATTTACTTGAAAACAACATAAAATTAACACCAGAAAAATACCCGGTTTTTCAAAAGTTAAAGAGTACATCTTAACATGATACGCGTATTGGTTGAATTTCTTGGATATCGAATGCGTATTAAAATAATCTTGGGTTTAGTAAAACCAGGTGTTTAAGCATTAATCTTGATATCCATCATTCTAAAGTTGTGAGCTAAGGCTAGATATTGACGAAATTAAAAAGGCGAAACTTTGCAAAGTTCTAGTCAAAGTTAAAGTTTCTGCTAAACCAAATGTTTCCATCTGTGGGATGCAAATTCAAGATTTCTTTATTTGTTGTTTCTATTAAAACAAGTTTTCTAAACTTCGACAGAAAGTTTGGAAATTGTGGAAACAGAGACAGGTTTCCAACACACAGTATCAAAGAATTATTTGAAAAGACGATATCGAATTCGTCACTGAATTCCCATGTTTTTTGGGACACCCTGTATCAAATACTAATAAACTTGAACTCAACTTTGATCCTTCATTTTCTCTTTTACGTACAGGTCTTGTATATGTTTTTTCTCATACTTTTTAGCTTTCTAAACTTTTATTCATTGGATATGATTTCTTATCTTTTGTTTTCATTCATAATTCATTCATGATTATATAACTGATTCGTCAAATTTTGCTGAATATTCTCATAAACTCAAAACCATCTCCAGTTTAAAATCCAATCCATGCAATTCATGTACAAAATTGCATCAACCTTTTATGGTCAATATTGCATCTACTCTTCAAGTTTAAAACTGCACCTTTATGTTTGAAATTGCAACTACCCTTCCTGGTTAAAAACTGCAACTACTCGAACTGCCCTCCATCTCCCATGCCAAACAATTCCTTGTTATTTCAAATTGGATTTTCTTTGGTTTTAATCTTCAATATTTATCCTATTGGACCGATCTTACCCCTTCCCTCAATCTTCTCTAGTTACTCCCCCTTCTCCTCCCTCCTTTGCCACTCCCCTCACTATCCCCCCTTTACCAATACGTGGACCCTCTACTCCCTCTTCTCCTCCCTCCTTTACTCAATCACTCTTTCCCCCTCCTTCTCTCCTCCACGCCTCTTTGGTCCTCGACCTGTTACCACTTTCTTATTCCCTCGCTTCCCCCCTGTTCCCCTCGCTTCCCCCCTGTTCCCCTCGCTTCCCCCTTTTCCCCTCTGTTCCCCCTGTTCCCCCTGTTCCCCCTGTTCCCCTCTGTTCCCCCTGTTCCTGTTCTATAACCAGCCATGATTCTGCTATACTTAATACTTATTCTAATCATTTCTCTCAAAATAAAGATTTCTTATTCATCGTTACTCAGATAAAGGCTGAAAGGTTACCGTTTTGAACAGGATATACCTCTCTCTAAATAGAGAAGCACTTGAATTTATGTCTACATTTCCTTTAATATCATATTAGGGGAATAATTACCTGTTATGCACCTAGGAACCTAGGTTAACCCAGAACAAGAATGACGGAAAATTACCGGAATTTTTCCGTCGGTTTACGTCCGGAATTTGGTACCGGTACTTTTCATTCCGGAAGTTCCTCTTAAAAATATTTAATTTACCTGTGTTACGCGTTCTAATAAATACGCCCGTCTGGATTATGATTTATTAGTGCACGCAAGTAAACCATCAAGAAAAATGTCAAATATTTGCGACATTATTGGTTCTACATCTTCTCGTTTGGTCCTCTACACAGTAGCTAGTTAATTATATACAAATTCAAAATATTTTTGTTCTAACCAATAGTTTTTTAGTAATAGTAGTTATGAAAAAACATATAGGATTTCAAGCTTACTCGCAATTTACTTAGAAGCGAATACAAAATTCAGAAAATTTAAAATTTACAAGAAATACAAACTCTTACAGGAAGATAAAAAAGTCATAATGTATGATTGCAGTCCTTTCTTTTGCTTTTATTTCTGAATTTTGTGAAACA